ACCCGCGCTGATGTTCAAAAGGAGGGAAAGAATCCACGGAATCTTTCGTCGTCATCTCCAAGGTGATCTCGGAGGCAATATCGAATACCCAGGTGCCGCAGTCGTCCATCCAGCTTGTGAAAACACGAGCAGCTGTTTCCGACCTGTTGGCACAGGACTCGCTTATCGATCTCGTTATACCCAGGGGGTCTAATGATCTTGTCCGATTTGTGAAAGATAACACGAAAATACCAGTTCTTGGTCATGCAGACGGTCTCTGCTCCGCCTATATTCATTCAGACGCCGACCCAGAAGTTGCTGTCAAGGTTATAGTGGATTCAAAAACCGACTACCCGGCCGCTTGCAACTCGTTAGAAACCTTGCTCGTACACCATAGTGTTCTAAAAAGTGTTTTGTTGTTTGTGGCCAAGGGGCTAATATCTAAGGGTGTTATTCTCCGGTGCGACGAGTCCTCCAAAGCTGCCCTCATGGAAAGTTTGACCTCCACGGAAGCAGAGTCGCTTCAGGATGCTCATGACTCCGACTTTGGAACTGAATTTCTTGATCTTACGCTGGCTGTTAAAACAATATCTTCCGACTCGGCTCTCACTAGCGTCGAAGCAGCAATAGCCCATATCAATTCGCACTCTTCCAAACACACGGACATCATCGTGACCAAGGCGGAGGATATTGCAAACATTTTTATGAAAGGTGTTGATAGTGCAGGCGTATTTTGGAATGCATCAACAAGATTCGCAGACGGAATGAGGTATGGATTTGGCACGGAAGTTGGTATCAGCACCAACAAGATACATTCTAGGGGACCGGTTGGCTTGGATGGGTTGACCATCTATAAGTATCTGATTCGAGGCGATGGCCACAGAGCTAGCGATTATTCAGATGGGCTCCAAGGAAAAAGGTATAAGCACCAGAATTTACAGATACTGTAGTTTCGATATTTGAATTCAAGGAGGTTTAAACATATTCATTTTTCCTTATCCCGATCGACGCCACCTACCGGAAGTTATCGTTCAATCAATGGTATGTCTCTACATGTAAGCCAGCTCGGTGGCGGCGGCTATGGCTCGACAGGTTTCAATAAAGACACGGCCTCGTATGACACCTCAAATTCATCTTGGAATAACCTGCTTGCCACGACATTCTCAACTATTCCTTTCAGACCTTGAAACCACGAGATCTTCTGCGACCACGAGCTCTCTCGAACTTCCGACCCTTGCTTCGCACATACGGTTTCTAGCCAAGATTAGCATACAAACAAAATTCCCCAGAGAAATACAAGGAGCACAAACCTTATGCTTGTGAGGACCAAAGCCGAAGTGCTTCACGGATTCCCTGGCATTCTTGGGGCCACGAAGGAGGAGGGTGTTTGCTCCAGTTGGTGCTCGTAGAGCAAGTTGATCCAAAGTCAGAGTCTCACCACCGGCCTTCTCGATGCGAGCCCTAGCAGTAGAAGTGAAGCGTAGGGCAGCCACAGAAAGCTTGGGGACAGTAAGGAGGCGGTTGTCATCGGTAACGGTTCCGATCACAACGATAGTTTTGCCTTGGTGGGACTCGGTTACATTCGAGGCGATGCGGGAAAGCGAGACGGGTGGGCGGTTGATACGGGACATGAAAAGGCGGCGCAATACAACCTTGTTGAAGTTCGATTCCGTGCGGCCTGTAATTTGCGAGTTAGCCCTCAAATGTCCCTTTTCACCAAATCGGCAGATGTTCAAGATCGGTCATACGGGCAAGGAAGCGGTAGAGCTTCACAAGAACCTGCAAGTAAACATTCTCGCTTTTCGGCGCTTTGCGATGGGTGCTGCGCACATGGTGGCGGTCCAAGTCGATACCTATTTGTCCGCCGATAATCAGCAAGATTCGCTTGAGTAGAGTGAAAAAGGAGTGCGTTAGGAAATAACGCGAGTCCCTATTCAATTGTGTCTGTCAAGACTCATAATTTTGTATATCGTCTGAAACTTACCCATGGCTGCTGGAGAGTTTTCGACTTCGAAGTTGGCTGACTGTCGCACCCAGATGCAAAGCGAAGCCGTCGAGGGTTTGAATAGACGATTTTCAGATGGACGGTGTGTGCGGGTTGAGCCCTACGCTAATACATTTTGAGAAACACCTGGGCTGGGTCGGGGGATGCAACGCCGGATCCGATTTCTTGGCTCAGTTGAGACGGAGACGGGACGCTTCAATCGTACCCGATGCAGTAGAGCATCTCGTCAGAAAATGGAGACAGGATTTACTGGGTTATTAACATTTTCCTTCTGCTATTCCTTTCATAACACATATCGCAAAGTGGAGTGAATAATACTGAGCATTCCCTGACATCCCTATTTAAGTTGTTTGTGTTAGTATAGTAACGTAAGAAAATGGCCGTTTCTATTATTGCAAATTGAAAGGACCCTTCCCGGTTTACTGTCGACACCGTAGTACTAGCAAGGCACGAGGATAGAGTTTTGAATGGTAGATCAATATGGAATAAGTAGCTACTACTTGTACGTAGGGTCGCGTACTACGTATGGTTGGTCATTTTGCTGAGACCACTTGAGCCACCAAAGGCAAGACACCCGCAATTCATATAAACCATCACCTTTCGTCTAATCCCAAAAAGAAATCCCGAGTTAGCTCAAAACTGAGCCAACTACTGGCCATACTCGGTGCCACTTTGAGCAGATTTGGCGCGACGCCCTTGAAAAGACCGCGCATTCCTTCTTCAGCCACGATAACCTTCACCGCATCAAAAATCGATGCGTATTGATAACCCATGTTCGACATCGTATTGATCTGGAAGCGTCGCCGAAGGACATCACTGAAGTGCGGTTAATATAGTGAATAATAAAACGAGGGGCAATTGTGATGGTCCAACGGATTAAACTTACAATGGATATGTGCATGTCTGCGCCACTGCCCCCGAGATAGCACCGGCTAGTAATTTACGAAGGGCACCGGGTGTAGAGTCCCCCTCGGGGGTCAGGTATTTACGGACTGATTCATATGTCATGAAATTAAGACCAACCTAAAGAAAGTTAGCCAACCAAGACCACCCGCTAAAGATCTTCGAGTGGCCACCATACATATGGTGCAACACCGGCAACAGTTGGAATGATACCGCGGTAAAGCGCTAGGAGTCCGCCTTCATTCTTATAGATCAAGACCATGGTGGTAAGCATGCCAGGCAATTTTTCTCCGGCCATTTCTCGTTTGAGAGCGGCAAATGAAGCCGACTGAATAGACAATCTAGTGCGGACAATATCAAGAGGATATGTGATGACGACCGATGTGATCCCGGCCGCGCCTCCGCACACAAGTCGGTGTATTGGCGTCAAGTCCGCATTTGGCGAAGGCTCCGCAAACTGCAAATGTTAACACTTTCGTTCCAGAAAAACGTAACGTCCGGCTAAGAACTCACTCTTTTATAGAAGTTATAGCTCCCAAATTGGACCGCCGAGTAGGGTATAATCCGTATACAATTTGTGCCATTCCCTCGCAGGAAGCCTCGCCAGCCTTCTTCCTTTCCAATCTTTTTAAGAGCCTGCCAAATGGACAGCCTATACTCATCTCTACCAACCGTCTGAATCTGGAGTAGAATTTTCAAACGTTCGAGTGGTGACACGATGGTTCTGGATACAGCACCCGCTACACCCCCAGCAAGGAAAGCTGCCGTGACGGGATCGGAAACTGTCGTTTTAATCCCATATAAGAGAGAGGCATTCCCCGAGAACGGCCCCTGGGCATTATTAGCGGGAGTAATAAGTAGTTTTGAAAACCATGCTCTCTGCTTACCTTATTTGATGGGGGTGGTGGTAATTGAGAGATTTTCGACAAAGCGTCTTTGCCATCGCCATCCGGTCGTTCATGCCGGGTAGCATCCTGGCGATCTAGGCTCATACTGGGCTAATAAATGCGAGGATCTAACAATAGATAACCAAATCGTCTAAAAGTAACTACAGGCATCGAGCCCGATGTTACTTACGAATGAACAGTTTTCGCTCACTCGTATGCCAGTGTATCGTGCTATGCCAACCAATCCCAGCCTCAAGCGTATATATATATATAGACCAATATGCAGCAAGGTATCGAGATTTGGATATTCGGTCTTTTGAATGCTTCACTAGCCATGTGTATGTGGTTAGAGCTGCATCGTGCAACAGAATGAAACAAGTAGAAAAGCCGGCTGAAAAAACCCCTCCCCCAAAAAAGATGGATAGCGCTTTTGAAGAATTTCGGGACGCGGAAAGCCTGGATAATAAATCAGAGTATGAATAAATATGACGAGCTGATCGACCTCTGAAGTTCGCGAATGTTGGGGGTATTCATTCCAATTCGGTCCCGGTTCGGGAGCGTAAGATGGTTCCGATAGCCGCCTGGAGAAAGTCGGAGAAACTCACCACGTCGGGTTCCATAAAACGACCTCCAGGCTGGGAACCTCTTGCCCTCTTCAGGCTCTGGTAAGCTGTTGTTATTTTAAGCACGCGGCAAGTTAAGTTGGTTATAGTTAACTAGTTCAATAGTATTAATCCTCAAACCCTTCTGCTTATTTCCCCTTGAAATATTCCTCTCACTGTCCTTAAAGTGATCCCAGCAGATGTGTTAGTTTGATAATTAAAATCTCAAGAGGAAAATAGCAGTCTCTCGCTCACACCTTACAGGGATCATTCAACTAGACAGTCTGGCTTTACCAGAACATGTAAATATAGAAAGCGGAAATTTTTAATGTTGATATAAATCTACCCCGAGTCTCTGCAGGAGGTAGTCTAGAATACCACTTACTATACTATAGTACTCGACGCTTTTAATAGTTGTTGTTGGCGTCATTAAAGTGTTTGCTTGGAATTTGGATACGTACGAGGCACCACTTCGCTTTTGGCGTACGCCGCCGCCTCTAGCCAACTAAAATCATCCCTGCTCAGTCTTTTTGTCACTTCCTACCTTCACCTCACTCGGGTCCTTTAATTAGTCGACGCCTCCATCCAGTATCCCTTTCGATCGAGTATTTCTGCCAGCAATTCATCATCATGTCCCGTCCTGGTACTACGCTATACGTCACTGGCTTTGGCCATGGCACCCGAGCTCGCGACCTTGCCTACGAATTCGAACGGTATGTGCCGCTCGTCGATTGCCACGCGCTACCATGATGCATCCGAACCGCATCTCCCTCCACCTTCGCTGTTCTTCTCGGTCGGTCCTCGCAATATCGGCGCCGGAGATACCTCCTGTCATGTTATGAAAGATCTTGTCCCACTAGACGTCTCCATTCCAATCGAATCTCCTAATCCGTCATTTTTCTCTACATTGTACTTTGCACTTCTGCCGTCTTCCTATTCCTACTGTGCCTTCGCATCATTTCTGCTATTCACATACAATGCCTCTACATATCGTACTAACTTTACCTAGGTACGGGCGTCTTGTTCGATGTGATATCCCTGCACCGCGTACCCCTTCCAGCCGCCTGTATGTTCTCACCAAATATTTTTCACCTCAACAACATTGACATCTATCCCAGGTTCGCATTTGTGGAGTATGAGAGTCGCCGTGATGCAGATGACGCATATCATGAGATGCATAACAAAAGGATTGGCCGCGATGATTTATTAAAAATCGAAGTAAGTTATATCTTCATGGCTACATATCCTTATATTTTAACGTCATAACCAGTGGGCAAGGACCCCGCCGTCTGCCTCATGGCGCTTTGATTCCGGCCGTGACCGCCGGCGCGACCGCACTCCACCTCGCCGTGGTAGATCACCCTCTCCCCGACGTGCTCGTGGAGACTATTCGCCACGCAGAGATGACAGGTATGAGCGTGAATTTGATAGAAGCGACCGTGACTATGAACGACGTGACCGTGACTATGACCGCCGAGACCGCGACTACGACCGTCGAGACCGCGACCGTTCTCGTGACCGTTCCCGCAGCCCCGACGAGAGGGATCGCGACATCAAGGATGACCGAGAAAGACGCGACGAGGAGCGCGAGCGGCGTGACGAGGAGCGCGAGAATGGCCCGAACGGCGAAGACAGGAAGGGTGAGTTCCCGTTTTCCCAACTAGCTTCCGACATCTGCTAAATAAGACAGTTCCATTGGAACCCTTGACGTCCGCTCACGACGAGCTTGACACTGCTGAGTAGATTGTCTTTGCGAAGAAAGTATAACGCTCCATTCCACTCCATTACTTGTCGGGCTCATGAGAGACTCGATGGCATACTGACAACTTCTTCACTAAGCACGTGGCCTTCTAAATTGTTCTGAACCGGTCTTTGGTCCGGAGGCTTGTTTTCGCCTGCCTCATCACCGCACTCTTGATTAATCAAACTTATTTAACTTTCTGTTCAATTTGATTCTCCCCAGTTACACTTTTATTCGCCTTTTTTGTGTGTTTATTTTTGCCACACTACTGTCTTCCTGCCACGTCACGTTTGTTTTTGCTTTTTGCCTTCTCTTACTGTTTGCTCTGCCACCTGACTTTGCAGGTAAAGCTGAACGGGGGCTGGAAAACCAAAGAAAGGGAAAGCGGGTTGGTAAAGAAATAACGGCTAAGTGCTCTTTACCTCTGGCACGGGTGGTGTTCATATATTGTATAGAAGCCGGAATCAGTTTCGAACTCACGCCGATCGGTTTATTTTCCTTTACCAATCCCAATTCCACCTCCGCCGAATCACATCGTCCTTACGTTGATTCCGATGAAAGCGGTCCGTTCGTTTTCGCCTTCCGTCGCAGATTAATATAAAACGATTATAATCCTCATCCTCGCCCATGACATTCCGGCCGTGATCGTCGATAGCCGTTTAAAACTGCAAGGGGTGTCGTTACTAGTAGCCGTAGGATTCCAGTTTACTGTATCCAATACCACTTGGGGGATCCAGGTGCTCTTGGAGGTAGGTAGGTCCAGCGAGATACGCATAGTCACCGATCTTGGATTTTATTTGGTTGTGCAGTGTGCTCCGCTTTGTTTTCAAACGGAGTTTATTAGCTGCTAGCCTGCTCATACTTTAAAGATGCCATTGCGGTTAATAATCGGCCCTTGACACAACGACTGAAGTTGATTTGTAACTGCAGATTAATTTAACTCGGGCTACGTAAGTAGAGGCAACTCTGGTGGCCTCTCTTCCTGTAACAGCCCTAGATAGTTTTAGGTATCATGCACGGGAGTTTTACCGATGAACGTAATACAGTAGTACGCAGTATTATGGAAAGAACGAAGGGGCATGGTGTTTTACCTACTTCATTAAAACTCTATATCTTGAACAACCATCTATTGCCAAGCTCGTTTACCGGACGTCTCTTAATATTAATACCCCGTGAAGAACCAATTCTAAAGTCTTTCCATTCCTAACATCCAATGTGCCAAGGTTTGTACTTACAGCAACACCAGCTAGTAGTAAACATTACAGTGGTTTTAGTTTATATCGCAACACTGTCGGAAATCCACTATGAAATATTTTGGAGAGCCTCCATCAATACAAAAATAGTAATATTGTTTTTGCACTTATTTTTTATTTTAAATGACAATTTTAGGTGCCAATAACCGCACCATAAGCATAACAAGAACAGTTTAGTAGAGTAATGTGGGCGAGATAGCACTGCTGAGCCGACTTCGACGGCCACCAGCACCTCTTCCTCCACGACCTCTTCGTCCACTACGCTATTCTTTCCTGAGCTTCCCTACTACATTTTCTCATGTGTAGCCATAAGGGATCCTAAGTAAACGAAAAATTAGAGCTATATCCTCGGTATAAGTAGTTACCTATTGGAGAGCACTTACCGATAAAGGTAGTCACCAGGCGAGACCGAACCTGGCAGATATCCTCAGGCACCAGCCAAATAGTTGCACCTAGCTTGCGTGCGATACTGATGCTGAGTTTTGCGTTCGCATAGGCCTGTTCATCAGTCTGGCCTGGAGTTACAAGATCATAATCAACATAGGAGGCTTTCATTCCGTTAAGCACATCGAGCAGGAACACGCCGGAGCCAATTGATTGATCCTTGAAGCTGCGGATGGAAGAGTTGCGGCCACCTTTGCGGGACATATCATTGCCCCACCTGATCATTTCTGAATCGGTGATTTCGCGCTTACCCAGTCGACTTGCCAGGCTTGAGAGAGTGTTGGTGATATCCCGCCTCATCAGCTGCCACACCAAGCCCAGTGTTAGGGTCCGTTGGCCATCGGTAATATCTGCTCCTTGAACACCCACCAAGGAGAAACCGTGATATTTACCAAGTTCGATGGCGTAGTTGGTGTTCTCTACTGCCTTGAATCGCATCATCTCTTGTCCCGATGCTGGCGGTTTGTTGACGTGTCTCCAGTTGACACTGCCAGGAATAACCTTGTCGTATGCCTGCATCAAGATGGCTCCATCGCGAAGGTCATCAAACAATGAATTGACGGCGGGCTGCACATCGAGTGAATTTAGCCACAAGGTAAAGACTCTTGCCTCCCGCTCCCCTTCGGCGTCAAAGTCCTCAACCTCCAGCTTTTCCTCCTCGGTAATAGGGTCAAGACCAGGTATGGTGTTGAATAGATTAGCAACAAACGCAAGGTTAAGTTTTGGATTCCCTGCAACAAGTGATGTTGGAGTCAAGAATTTGCGACAGTTCAACTTTTCCGCGTTTGTCAGCACGTCATCAGCACGTTGTAGTAGGTCTCGAGTCTGGAGCGGTTGTCGTGAGCAAAGTTCAGGTGCCAGTTGATTTAGGAGGACGGTGTAATTCTCGCCGTCTTTTACATCGGTGGAGAAATTTGTAACCCTTTTTGGAAAGATGACGCTGTTAGCTCTCAATCTGTAAGGCAAAAAAAAACCAAATAGGCATTTGGATTATGCATGGGTGGGGGATTCCAATATCGCTTACCTTCGCGGCCATTGCGCGTTTTTTAAGTGGTAATTGAACCAGCGCAGTAATATCTGCTCAGGAGGGAGACGTAGGAATTGCTCCAATGTCTCATCCTCTTCAAGAAGCCTGTACAGCTCGGGGTGGAGTTTGATGTCAATTTTCCCGAGCAGACCGCGGCGAATAATTTGCCAAATCAAGCCTAAGATAAGATGTTCTCGCACTTCTATAATGTCGCCACTTCCGATGTTTACGACCGAACATCCGATCCCCTTAGCCGAGTTGATGACAATGTTGTTGTTTTCGGTCATGTGGAAAGCATTGAGCTCCTTTATTTTCCTGCCAGATTTATTCAAGACGCGCTCATCGATCGTATCTGGAACGCTGTCGTTGATCAGTTTGGCCAAGACTAACCCATCTTTGCATTTATCGAACATCTCGAAAGTATCGGTAGGAAAGGGTAGAAGGTGTCCAATATCCGGGTCACCAGCGAGGACAGCATTGATATGCCTCGTGAATTCAGTCCTCTCATCTTCGTTGATTGTGTGCGTCACATTCGAGGAGGAACCTTGGACATGGATTTTTCCTCCTAAACTACCTTTCGAGGCGTGTCGTGGTGCATTGGGGGCAGTTGCAGAAACCGGGTCTCGAACAGGTGCGCCTTGTGCCGAGCCGGAGCGAAGTTTGGCAATGAGCTTTGAATCATGTTCAGCTGCTTAACAATCAAAGGATATATGTTAAGCGGGGGTGCTCACATCGACATAGTCTTCAAGTTCTACTCGACGAGAGCTATCAAGCTCTACCTCTTTTAGTGTTTGTCTCACTGTGTCGTAGGGTTGACGCTCTGATTGCTGTGTGGCTTTGATCACCGTGCCCTCATCTATATATCCCTTGTCGTCCACATCTAACTTCCGGAACGCATCCTGGAGAGAAAAAATCTCACCCTGCTCAAACTGCGGGTACTTCCTACAAGATGCGATTAGAGACTGTGTGAAGTAAAAAGAAGGCAGGGCAAAGGGTGCGAAGAATAAGCGGGCGTTCAACGAATGGGGCAACGAACCTTTGAAGTCTAATCACATTCATTTTGCTTGGTGCTCTCAGGTCTAGGAAGAGGGTGTCGATGATTTTCAGAAAGGGCAGGGCTTTGAAGAGTCCGCTTTCCGACACGGACGAAGGAATTGACCGATGAGTAGGTCTTCAAAGCGGGGAGCAGGGAAGGAGGGGGCATAAGAGTGCCTGTGAGGGTGTGGCTTTGACGATACACTGTGGGGGGCTGAGGTTTAAGTACTCCTACGTACTCGAGCCGTACTATCCATATTTAGGTAGCCTAAGCCGTGGCTCAGGCAGATGGATATTTACTGTACTAACCTTACAACGGAGCGGGGCGGGGTCGACAGCCGTAAGATCGACTCGGTGCCTATCCTCAACAGCGAGATCCCGTATTACCGCGCTTTTGAAGACCATACCACGAAATAATACAAGTGTGTCAGAAACATGAACTATCGACATGCTTCAGACTAACATCAGAGGTGGAGTATAGATAAATTGTCTTGTTATTTTGTACATACATCTAGACGGTTCCCCCGGGGATTCTACCAGTCCTAACCGATGATGTAATTAACAAAGCGCTAACTTACCTAACCAGGTATCCCTCACTTGCCCGAGTGGCTGAGGTAAGACCACAAAGCAAACCAAGTTACGGGCTGCCTTTGCCCTCAAACTTCAAGTACTTTAGACTACGTCATATGCTGCCTATCGTAAAATTGACTCCCGTTTCGGTGCTGAAGGAAGACTGGCCTCAAGTGAAAGTTGCTTCGACTTCTTGGAACTTGTACTGTTAATAACGTCGAGAAGGCCCAAGAAGCTGAATACGAGGATAACCTCCTGTTCGGGGGATTGTTTGTGCCTAGATAGTTTGTGCCAAGAATGGAACTTGAGGCTCTTGCCTGGATTGGAAGACTCAACGACTCCCCTCCAGTTTTCCTATCTCCTACTCGGTATTGCCTACTGCATGCAAGAAAAATCCCATTCGCAAGATTCCCCGTCACTTACACATCTACCGTTTCGAGGGTCTTGATTAATACAACATTACCTTAACTATTGCGACGTCAATCTGACCTATTCCTCCTGAATCTTGCAAACCTACTTCATTTGGACGCATGAACCATTTGCCCCCTTCGAGGTTGAATGCGGCGCCCTACCGTACAGGCCACTGCTAATCTGTTAAATTCTCACTCGTTTTTGGTCAGTAAAGCCCACGCCGTCGGCATTGCTTCCCATATTCATCGCACCACGGTCAGTTCATTCACGGCGTTAATGGCAAAAGAAGCGCCGAGAGAGACGGCTTGCTCAAGGATATCATCACCCCTCAGCGACTCTGAGAAGACTTATAACCAGCCGAAAAGAGGTAATGATACTCAAGATGTTCTCCAAAGGTCCCATGGAAGAGACCACACTGTGTCCCATCGGCATAGGCTTGGCCTCCGACACTATCCTGTTGACTCCCCACCTCTGAAGACTAGGTGGTTTTATGCGGTAGACTCGCCTAAATGGAAACCATCTTTCTTGGATCAAACAAAGGAAAATGTGAAACCCTTACCTACTCCTAAAAAATTTGTTCCTTTTACGCCGAAGGATTCTCAGTCCCTCGAACATGCATTCCAGCATTTGTGCAAGGTCGAGATAGAGCTGGAGAAAACACTTGGCGACCAGCCAACAGACAAGTCATGGGATGAAGCCGTCAACGTACCCGTCAACGAAGATTACCTTTTTGATGTGAACATAAATCGGAGGGAATTGGGCCCGGCCTACTGGGTAGGGCCTGTATATGAGGTTCGCCGAGGCACTTGGTTCTTTCAGGAAGGGTCTACAATCAAGCCATGTGAAGAGAATCTTGCAACGCAACTTGAGGAAGGGTATTTGAAGGTGAAACCGTGGCGCTCGACAGAGAACAGCCAGCGCGTAACCCAGCCCTTGACGACAGCAAATAGCCTTGGGCAAGGTTAGTCAATTATAGAAGATCGATCTACCAATCGTTCACTAACCATGCAGATGGTACCGGAAACCTGGCGCCTCCATCTGCCAGTGAAGCACGAAAACACCGCTTATTCGGCTCCTACATGAACAGTATTGTCACATACCAAGATTCTACAACAGCACTGCTCACGAGCGATGATTTTATGTCCAGGGTGAGTACAACTGTTTATCAAACTCTCGGTGGGTTACCAGGAACCAGGGTAGTACGTGGTTTTACTGAACCGAGGAGGTACAATGAGACCCAAGATAAGAAAAACTCCGATGAAGCATCAAGTAGCAAACCATGGCCCAACGTCTCAGGTGCACCAACCGGAAACGCAGCCGCCAAAAGAACATCAGAACTTTCGGAACCTGATATGTCGCAAACCGAATTCCCGCAGGGCACGGCTCAGTCCGAGACAAGACCGATTACAACATTGGAACGGCGCGTTTCATCGTTAGCTGGTGCTCAGGGCTCTGTTGATCTCGAAGAACAGGCGCGTAAACAAGAGGAACAGGAGATGGAAGATTTGAGAGAGGGGGATGACGAGGATAGGGAAAGAGAAATTGATCATCTAGTCCTGGTTACACACGGAATTGGTCAACGACTTGGCCTGCGGTTAGAAAGTGTTAACTTTATACACGATGTGAACGTCCTCAGAAAGACAATGAAGCGCGTCTATAAAGCGTCGCCAGACCTTCAAGCCCTCAATTCTTCTTTCCCGGATAAACAGAAGAATTGTCGCGTTCAAGTTTTGCCTGTGTAAGTTGAAGGGCCACATGCTCAATGCCGTTATATGGTACTGACCACTGCTCAGGTGTTGGAGGCATCTACTGCAATTCCCTTATAAAAAGGTTGGGCAAGACCGCAGAGAATTGGACCTAGCAGATGCAGATACGCTCGAAGACGATGTATACCCTGCATTATCAGACATCACGCTTGAAAGCGTCCCGGCCGTCCGAAACCTTATTTCTGACCTTGCAATTGACGTGCTGCTGTATCAAAGCAAGCACTGTGAGCAGATTTCTGCTATAGTCAAGCAAGAGTGCAACCGGATCGTCGAACTCTACATGAAGCGTAACCCTTCTTTCAATGGAAGTGTGAGCCTCTGTGGACATTCTTTGGGAAGTGCAATTTTGTTTGATATTCTTTGTTCCCGGGACATGGCGCCGAAGAAGACAGATGATCTAGACCAACCATCTTCTACTACCTCAGCATTTACATTTGAGTGTGAGGAGCTTTTCTGTTTAGGGTCTCCGGTAGCTCTATTTGAGATGCTCAAAGGCAAGACGATTGCTGGGCATCCTACCAAGGGAGATGAGTGTAATGGGGAAGAAGAAAGATCTAAGCAACAATCTACAACCCTAGGCACTGGAATCACCATTAACGAAAACCAGTTCGCCGTATCCACTCCAAAGTGCCGCCAACTGTACAATATATTCCATCCTTCTGACCCGGTGAGCTATCGCATGGAGCCCTTGATATCTCCGGCAATGTCGTCGCTCAAGCCACAGCCTTTGCCGTCGGTCAAACGGAGCATCTGGACCGCATCCGGACAAAGCCTTTCATTGATCGGTAGTCGTGTAGGTCAAAGTGTTGGGTCACTATGGACCAACTTCACTTCTGGTGTGGCGAGTAGTCTGTTGAACCGGAGCCTTGGTATTGGCCCCGAGGATAGTTCTTCACAACAGCGCTCGGATACCCGCTCTCAGACACGGCCACATACCTCGCTATCACCAGATGCCGGTGACCCGGAAAATCGAAGCCCTACCTTGATAGACCCGGATATAGAGACATTATACGAGGGGTTTCAAAAGGCCAAGTTAAAACGCGATAAAATAACTGCTGAAACAAAGACTGGGCGCGGTCCGGTGTTGCAGGAGACGGACCGCGGTCTAAAAAAATTGAAACTTGAGGAAGAGAAAGTGAGATTGTTGAACTCCAACGGACGAGTCGATTATAGCATACAGGAGTAAGTTCAGGCCCCGCTTTGATTCTGCCTTTGCGCATAATTCAGCATGGCCTAATTTGGTGAAACAGGGGGGCATTCGATATATCTCTAATTGCAAGCCTTGCCAGCCACCTTAGCTATTGGTCGGACGAAGATGTCAACCACTTTATGCTTTCACAGATGCTCTGCAGGAGGCGTATCCAAGCTTAGGAGCAACTAAATAAATTAATAGATGGAACGCCCAGCTGCGTTAGTTCATGGTATAAGTTATGTTATCCCAAGACAGGCCATGTGCTCCATTAAACATCGTTAAAACCATGACCCCGGAAACTTTACGAAAATACGGATGTCTCCATCGGAGGTCATCCATGGGTCCGCGAGTAGCGCATAACGTAAGTTGGAAAAATAGTGAAAGTATTGGGCATCATAATGAGATAAAATGGGTTCGACTGATCAAGTATCACCCTATTTAAACATATTCCTTATCATTAATGCATATAGCACCCACAACTTTACCAGCAACTATAGAACCACAGCCCTGAGCGCCTGTAAAAGGATAGAAAAAATAAATCCTCTAGAGACAACTTCAATCTGAAGACTGTCGAATACTTTGCCAAGAGCTTCGCGGCTAGCAACCGCTCCCATGACGCTGGTTATAGCCTGCGGAAGTCCCTTTTGGACAAGAATTCGACGAGCGGCCTCTCGCTGACGCTCCCTTTCAGAATTGGACATCGCCGGCGGCCAGGTGCTCAATTCTTCAGCTGTCGGCAGTGCGTTCTCACGGAGTTTAGTTAGATACGCCCCGACAGCCTCGTCTGTGCTATGACTGTCGATCATGGATCCCTGCAGTAAACCGCGAATAGTTTCTAGACTTGGGTTTCCCGGTCGAAGTATGTAAGATTTTGCCGCGTTTAACAATGTTCGGCGTATGTTCCATGCTGAAGATAGTGAGTATAATTCATTTATAACGGCAAATATCAGCTCCACTGCCATCCGCGTTTCATCTGCCGAGATAGGGCTTCCCTGGCGTTTCCGCGCGGCCGCTATCTCCATGGATTTCCTGTTCTCCGTGGGGACGACATCCCTATTATAATTATTCTCTTCTGTGAGGACGGCAGAACTGGCGGCTAGGCTGCTTTTATGCACCGAAGCAGCAGCGGGCGAGACCCGGCCACCAAGACCACCAACAGCATTTTCCTGAGAAGTGCGGGTTGGTACGAGAGTATTCAATGGTTCGGTGAGATGAGCGATCTCGATGGGTGTATTGGGGTCACTTGTATCACCCGAGCGCTGCGGCTGAGGTGAGAGCGCACCGATTGCTGTGTCGTTGCTTACCCTCAAATCCCCCCTTCCGGTTGAGATACCGCCATCCAGAGGTGCCGCGCTTTTCTGAAGTGAGTCGCGGCATCCCCTACTGTCACCACCTACACCTGGGCCAGCTTGTGTCTTTTTATTGGGCCCTCCGCCGAATACACCTGTGACACCCTCAAGAACAGCCTTGCTGCCACCAGAGACTCCTTTGGGTGCGTTTGTTAATACGCCCAAAACACCTTTGCCAACATTTTCAAACGCAGTCTGGCCTGGGAAAGCAAAGCCTGGCTTTACCGACGGACCTGTGGTATTTGCACCAACCCGTCCATCCTTTTCGAGAAATCGTCTCATAGTCACACTCTCGGCAAGGGGTTCAAGTCGAAGAGCGTCATGCAGATATCGTTCCAGGTCGTGTGCAAGAGCTTGCCGCGTTTGTCCCTTCCAAGATGGTATGAGTGGATGAGTGTCCCCAAAACGTAATTGATTCAATCTCGCTATCGTTCCCAAGGTCTCATGAATAGATTCAAAGTCCGCATATTTCTTAAATACCATCCACCCACTAGATCGTCCAGAATGAGGCTCGACTTGAATTAAATAGTCAGACGTAGGTTTTGATCGAAGGACCGCCGTATCTCCGGTTTCAAAGCTATCATCAACAGTTATAGATGCGCAGTGGAGAATTGAGGCTGGTGGAATATCAAAACTGTCTGAGGTGGAACTAGTTGGAAGCCCTGGGGATTGTCCAGACGGTGAGGTTATTGAGCTGCTCACTTCGCTGGAACTGACTTCTTGTGCTTTCTGAATCCCTTCGATCAATTCGGATTCTGGCGGGGTCCCTTCGTTACTTCGTGGGCCCGCGCAGCTCCCCATGCCGGCATCAGGAAGGGTGTCGCAGTTATGCGTTGAATCACCTGCCTCCTGTGTGTTGTCCTGCGTCACCTGTTCGGTATTATTGGGCATGTTCTGCGCTGCAATCATGTCGCTCAGGCGTTTGGCTTCTAGCAAGGCCTCCTCAGTTGCTTGATCTACTTTATTAAGTATCGAACCCGGGCTTCTCGATGGAGAAACAGGTTCTGCAACACCAACATCCATAGACCTTGAATGAGTTTCTGAGATTTCCCCGGAAACTTTGGCTCCTGTTACGCCATGGTTTCGAGCCCCCTCCACGCCGGCATCAATTGCACTCATTATCTCGGATTCGCCTTCGCTAAATAGATATGTAATCCAGCCATTTATAAATTCAGGCCGTGACATATTAGAGATCGTCGACTCAAGGACAATCCCACTTAGAACTTCCCGAAGGAAGTTTCGAACTGGGATACAATCGTATGCGCGGGAATCCAGGAATCTCGAAAGAATATCATCGGACATGGTCTTAATTTTTTCCTCTTGCTGCTGATGGGCTAGAAGACTCGAGAGGCTGCTCTCAGGATTCGATTCTAGGTATCGCTGCACAGCATCCTCCGCTGTGGCGGCAGGACCAGCTGCCTCAAATGCCGCGCAGAGCTCATTCAGAAATACGATAACCATAGAAGACGAATTAGTGAGGAATTCTAGGAAGGTGTCTGCCGTTCGTTTACGGTAGAGATGGGAGGAGATAGCGGAGACGAATTCAATCAATACCTTCTGGCATGAAATAGGGAACGTTGATTCAGATGGAAGAATCGGTTCATACCAGTAGCTTTCCAGTTTGGTAAGCGTATGATACAATATGTGGTGTAGGATCTTACTTCACGTAATCTCGCACCACCGCCTCGATTAATGAATGTAGCGCGGTGGCCGTCACTGGACCAACGGAGATGGATAGATTAACATCCATATCCAACTTGCTTTCCGTAGTATACTCCCCAGCATTGTCAACATTCGGGTTGATCCCAGTGCGTTGCTTGCTCTTCCAGTCAAGGACCTTATAGGCTATATTTAACGAAAGTTGCTTCCTGTTGGAGCTTAGGCTTCCTGATGGATGATGATTACTTGCGCCCTCCCACGACGAATGTAACGAAATACCGAGCGCGATGCCAATGAGTAGTATCCCAAGTCTACCCAAGATGATATATGTAGCTCCCATAAGACAAACTAGAACAAGGAGCAGCGATTCGTTACCGCATGTTGATAGGAGGTGTAGCATCCAGTCCGCCAGCTGTTGCATCTGCAAGCCATTCGAGTTGGCTTTTACCAATCGGTCATCCATATCGTAATTCACGCCGTGAGTGGAAGGGGGTTTCTCGACGGGTCGAGCTTGATCAGACTGAAACTCGTGTGAGGCATCGTTTGAAACGTCCATGTTCATTGGAATGGGATAACCGGTACATGAGCCGCAATCAATTCGTCAAGGCGTTGCATGCATTCAATGAGGTCGGCAGAATAGTATGTAGGATCCAAGGATCCAGAGGGGGGTGGGGCGGAAGGGAATTTCTATACCTCGGTGATCCTTAATAATGGTGATCCTTAATGGTAGTACGTACGAAGTAGTCGTAATGAGGCGGAACATGACCATTATTAAAGTATAGTTAGTTAGTTAACTAACATGATAATACTTACGTAATATAATACTTTCCGTATGTGGTATATGATCTACCGTGCCAGCAATGGACAGGCTGGATCTCCTTACACAGAACTCGGCCGGTGTACCTCCACTATAGGGAGTTACATCCTAATGATGTTTAATATATAGAGCTACACTCATTCAGTTACTCTTTGCCGATTCTAAGTATACTAGTTCGCTCGTCATTCCAAATCTCAGACTTGTAATGTCACGGTTGAATTTTCGAATATATCATTGCTTATGTTCTCAGTTTTTATCACTACACCTAGTAAATGCAAGACTGAACATGTACCTGCTATTGACAGTGAACCCCCCCAACGAAATAAAGCTGGAAGTTCCCAGTAAACAGGTGGAGATAGATATCCGCTATCTCCCGAGTCAGAGAATCCAGGCACTCAAAGCATATGTGGACTATGCCAGATGCAAAGATGGCGGTGTGGCCGAATCCATGTGGGTGTGAGCCGAGACTCTTGATTCAAATTGGCTATCATGCTTTGATGTATTTTGTATGGGAACCCTGAGCCACTAGGGTGGTACTGCCGGGGCTTGTGCTTTTTGAGATAGTTATGGTAGTAAAGGCAAGAGACCTGCCAACTTTATTGGCATGGCCTCTGATGTCCAACCAGTCCCCTGCACCTGCGGAAGAAAGATAATTGATATTGATGTTGGTGCTCACTCCGGTAGATTCCAGTCCACATGAAGCGATTGCCAAACCACCCGCCCAATCCGTGACGCAAGCAGAAAATACACCATGTAAGCCGCCTTTGGAGTTCAGATGCTTAGCGCTAACCTGAAGCCTCGCAGAGAAGGAGCCTTCTTCGGCGGAATATATATCCACATCACTAAGCAGAAAGTTGTAAATAGGGCTGTTGACTTGAATGCGATTCCAAACATGAAGAACCTGTTGTAACGGTGTCCTGGTCCCGTTTGACTCAGCCAAGGTATTTTGCGCCATGACCATGGGCGGTCGAGAGAAAAATGAGGAGAGAAAAGGGGGGAGAGAAAAGGGAGTCAATTTATCCAGATTCAAAGCATATGTGTGTATGTTTGTGTGTGTATATAATATGTGTGTGGAGACTGGAGGGATTTTTTATTGGAGACTCGTGAACACTTAACCCCATTGAGCAGGCAGAGGAAAGGCCCGGGCGATCGAGCGTCAGCCCCAAACCTCATTAAGCCTCATGTACTCCGTACTCCGTACACACAACGGTACCTGGTATATCACGTGATCAAGATCATTGTTCCTCTCAGCTCACGAAAACATACAACCTGACCTATCATATAACTGCGGATCGAAGATAATAAGACTTCTCGTCAATTCCTTTCAAGTATTCAGCCACGAAAAGCACGACCAACAATTATGACTTCGCGGCCTAGAAAAAGAGTTTCAGCGGCCTCTGATAACATTGTGGTTGATGACGAAGCTCCTCCTAACAAAAAGTCTAGGACCAATGCTTCACGCTTCTCGAATTCGACTGGCCCCCATAACCCCCATGGAATTTACACCAGAAAAGAAGACTCAAATGGAGATAGCTACTGGGAAATCTCAAAAATGCGTCGCATCACAATATCCTCGTTTCGGGGCAAAACCATGGTCAACATCAGGGAATATTATGAGAAGGATGGAGAAGAGCTTCCCGGGAAAAAGGTGAGCCCAGCCACATCTACATACCCACCCTAGAAGATATCTCTAACTGCCGCGCAATAAAGGGTATTTCACTCCCAATCGATCAATTTTCCGCCCTGTTGACTCTCCTACCTGACATCGAAACTGCTTTGCAAGAGAAGGGGGTATCGATTCCTCGACCAGATTATGTCGAGTTAAGTACAAACACTGGTAATAATGGAGAGAAGGGCTTGACTGACGACCTTCCGGGGGCTCGGCCCTCGCGAATGAATATTGAAGCCACGAGTGACGAGGATGAAAGCGAAGAATAGGGTTTACAAAGCGAAACTGGATGGGAGGTATAATTTTACTGTAATTTGAATTCCGCTCCAGTTTATTCCATGCAGTAACAGAGGCGCAAGCTGATTATTTGCTCTTACCTGTTTCTTATCTTTATACGTTGTTTTCCTTCAATTTAAAGCCAACTATACCATCTAATTACTTGACCATCCACCCGGGATAGCGCTGCATCGAATGGGGTTCACTTTAGCCAAGGTTCCCATAGGCTGCTCTACCTCTAGTAAGAAATGTCGGGCCCCATCAACAGATGAATGATTCATAATGAAGATTGTCTAGGGATCTACTTAGGCTGCGAACACTGCACTACTGTATTCCTAGATCGACAATTTTCATTGATTGTTGCCAAGCTGTTCATCCACCTAATATAACTGGAAGCCAGAGAGAAGGTGCCATGGTCCATGGCCATGTAACATCACTCCATAATTAGTTCAACCTAAGCGTTAAGTATGGCCGGGTTTTCAACACTTTACCGGTATTAGGGATGGAGTATTTGGCCAGCTTGATGCCTTTGTCCGATAGTAAGATGCGAGGTGCGGGGAGCTTTTTATTCGATTTCCGAATATTTGCCAGCCTTCCTAGGATTTCGTCTGATCTGTAAGTAGAAGAGTATAGTCGTAAATAACTAGAGATCCATTGACTGAAATTTGGCCATTTAGTGGCATTGACCCACATAGTTTCCATCACCACCTCCTCCTAGGAGACGAACCAAACGACACCAGTACGTAGTAGTAGACTAGTAGTCCGCCTCGTCGGTGCTTCTTCCTCGGATCCACCCAGCACCCCTGAGCCGTCTTTGCAGAATTCCCCTCAATTAAACTAATGTCGTTGCTTTTCTTTCGCTTGTCTGTGAATTGCATTGCGGCCGCCATCACCTACTTCTGTCTCGACTCCCAATGTCAGCGTTTTTTTGAGACTTAAATATCTGCTCCAAATGCGCCTTTCGGGTACCTACTTATTTTCGTTTTGATATTGCTAGTCCGTTGTGCCTGTGAGATACCACCGTTATTATTTGCAACTGGAGAACACCAACAACGCACCGAGCATTGACTGTTCGTCTAAAACCGAGGCTGGGATTGAGGTACAGACTGTGACTAAATATTTTGTCGAAATCCCTAAAACAGAAGGCAATGGGCCGTTCTGACGACACTTTCCGCTGTGTCGGGCCGTATTGAGACATTAAATTTTAACGATCTGGAAACTGTCAAGAGGACACCCCGCTGCCAATCCACACGCCAATTCACGATCTCTCTTCAGCACGGGATGTCTGATCCCATCAACCGCTATTATTGCAAGAAAGACTCAAGTTCCATAGTACGTCGTATACCTTCTATCCGGATGTCTTCGGAGAATTAGCCCAACTCACCCACCCCTCTCACCAGAATTCTAGCTATTATTACCGATATTAATTCTCAACCTAATAACTTTTTTTTCTTGCCAGACGGCAGTTGCCATTATCACAATCTCTAGCTGCGACTGAAGCTGCCACTATCCTGCAGACGCTACGAATCACCCTGGATCCCCACACGTCTTGAAGCGGATTGACTCTCCAGCTTAACTCCTTTTTCATTCCGCCACCCCAAAGTTATATTCAACGTCGGAAGAGGGCTGCCACGAAATCAAGCACTTTACCTAGGATTGGCTCATATCTATCGATTTTCTGCTTGCCAATACTCGCCTTCGGGAGCCTTTTCCCTTGCAATCGTTACATGTCCGGAACACGGTTTCTCGCAAGAAACAGTGGATGCGCTTAACCTTGAGCTGCTGACACTCAAAATGTCGGAACCACCCAGTGGACAATTTGCTAGCTCTCCTAATGCCACGGATGATGGCAATATCCGTGGGGGCCTTGGTAGCTTGAACCGATGGTCGCAGTCAACGACATCTAGCAACTTTTCGCCGAAATTTGTAAACCATCGGCGCCAGGAGAGTGCCCATAGGTTGCTTACTACAGATAATCATATCTCGCACAAGAAGATTCCGAGCTTAGAAACTAACCCCCAGGGTCGTTTCCCATATCAAACCAGTGAAGAGGATCAAGGTGCATTTACAAGAAATCATACTTCGCAGTCAGCTACCGAGCAGAGCCGCATGGAGATGACAGTGCCAGACCGGGTGGAACTAAACGTGCTGCCGAACTCATCCGCAAATACGACAGGCCCATCTTTGTTGCAGCCTGAGTTCTCACTTTTCGAGTCGGAGATTGTACAGAAGGAGCCACGATGGCAAAAAAATTCACCGGAAAGGGAGCTTTTTGAGCAGGTGCCAGCTGACTATCCCACCCACCAAACCTCCGACCACCCCTACAGCCAGAATGATAAACGGCGACAAGGTCCCTCTCAGAAGGCCATGCTCTCTAAAGCTCTGCAAAAGGCGAACACAGCTGTTCTTCTTGATAACGCAGCGAATTTTGAAGGTGCCATGGAGGCGTATAATGATGCATGTCAACTTCTACAACTAGTGATGCTTCGAAGCAATGGAGGAGAAGATGAGAAACTTAAGCTTCAAGAAATTGTAAGTATAGGCGCGTTCTTAGGTTGTAAGATCACAGCTCATAAACAACCAGCGCGACACATATATGATCCGAGTTACCGAGCTCCAGCGTATGGATTTTTCGTTTCGGAATATCGACAGCAAGGCGCTCCCTGAACGCCCGCTGAGCCAAGAATCGTATGGTGACTATGTTCAAACTATTCAGGGAGATGATCATGGCTTTGCTTGTGGAGACCCCGGCTTCGTAGAACAGAAATCACCCGCTACCCACAGGACAGTTTTGGAAGGGCCAGAGACATTGGTTCAGGCACACATTCCTCCAAGGCGCCAGTCATTGCTCCCATCAACTATAGAAGATGGCTTGCACAATCAAAATTTCTCGTCTATTGACACGAGTCGGGCGAATTCTGCACAGGCTATACCCCAAGGACAGCCGTTTTCACATAACCGTGAGAATTCTGGCATCGCCCCCGGCTTTTTGGGTGAATCTATTTTGGAAGAGAATGAGCGTTCTCTTACGTCTCGGCTATCGGAGCTATCGGTTTTGAGCGCGCAAGCCCGAGATATGAATGAGTCGACTTCGTGGCTGGACACTATAGATGAATCTGGCGCTTCTTCATCGCCGTCGACGCATTCAAAAGCGTCATCTGTATACTTGCGCCGCAGAAGAAGCACTCGCAACAGCCATGGTACGGAAGCTGAGTTTGATGCTGCTCTTGACGCAGCGGTGGAAGCTGCATATGATGAAGGGCTTGAACCAGCAAGCGGGTCGGAGGCGCAGGAAGATAATGACGATGCTTTTGCGAACGCTCGTCGCAATGTTGAAATCGCAAAACAGAAAGTAAGGGAAGCCGAGCGAGAAGCTGAGGTGGCGATGATACGGGGACGGGAATTGCGTCGAGCCCAGGAACAAGACAGCTGGGACAATATAAATGACTCGGGGCTAGATTATCTTGACGAGGAAGCGGAAGAAGAGGAACGATTGCTAGAAGAGATGACTAGGGGCTATGTCATGGATGATTTTGAGTTTGACCTCCAATCGAAGTCAGCACTTCCGCGTCAGTCTACTTCGGGCGGTCATCCGAGGAACACTTGGGAGAGCCCTGCTACAATTAAAACAATAGCAACAGGTGGAACGCTACCGCCCCTTGTGGAGGATGATACACTTCCTTACGAGCAGAGTCCGACTCAGCAAGGGGAGCCAGATCCCCCCCAGGCCTCGGCACAATCGACTTCTAGATCAACTCACGCACAAAGTGTACGTGCGCGAAGAATGTCCGGCCAAACTACGGTTGAACTCAAGATCGAGACCAGTGCTCGTTCAAGACCTGGATCGATAAATCCCGATATCTCTCAATCCTGGGACACGCTCTCAAGGGCCCCGGCACCATCAGAAAAAGAAGAGGACTTGACGAACCTCGCCCTACAATCAAACGGTATCTTCGACACAAATTCCTCGATAGATTCGACGGTGAACCAAACTAAGCGGGACGTATCCACTGGGTCCGTCAACGAAGAGACATCCTCCAATTTGAACCTTGCTAGAGAAGTAACAAAGGTTGAGGATGATGACACCTATGGAAATTCCAAAATGCTTTCACCGTCTCGCCGGCCGATGGGTAAGGTGCCCTCCGCGCCAGATAATTTGGGTAGGCCGCATCCAAGCACCTTGTCTTTTCGATCAAGAAATGTATCAGTGCCAAATCCAGACGTTTATACCGATTCCCCAGCCACACCCTCGATGAACGCATTCCCCACATTGGATTTCCAAAAGGGAATTGCAACAGCTTCGATAAATGCTTTGCCAACACCAACTGCTACTAATTTTGTCTCTAGCGGGCTGCCAAGCGACGGCCTCTATCTGTTTGACAGCTACATTCATTCGCCAACCAGCCCTGGCTCTCCCAACCCGCTTGCTACTAATTCACCTCTCCCGCTAGAGCCTTGTCCTGAGTCATTTCTCTTACGTCCGTTCTGGCTCATGCGGTGTATATACCAAACCATAGCCCATCCCCGCGGTGGATACTTGTCGACGAAATTATTCATTCCTCGTGATGTTTGGCGTGTTAAAAATGTTAAACTCAAAGGCGTCGAAGAAAAAATTTCGAACTGTGACCTGCTAACGGCAGCATTACTCAAGCTATCCAAAGTTGATATGTACGACGCTGATGCTGTTTTGGAAGAGATGCAAACATTTGAGAGTGTATTAGATCAGGTTCAAATGTCATTATCTAAGAAGATTGGGAGCGAAGTGGGTGTTCAGGGCGCCATGCCCCTTTTCAAAGCAGCTCAAGCGCTCGACGATGTCACAACTTTTGATGCACCACCGCCAAGGGTGTCAAACGGACCAAGCAAATCTTATCTAAGCTCTTGGCGGAAGCTACGGTCTAAGAATTCTGGATTTGGTGCAGGCTCAATGCCTAGCTCAAAGGAACCAAGCAAAGACCATTTGACAATAAGCTCACTTCCAATGACTCCAATACCGAATGCTCAACATGCCAGTCGAAATATATCACAGGTGCAGTTCAACGGACCGAACGCGAACTACATGAGTGCATTGGCCCGACTTTGCGATGCTGCTCAAGTTTTGGGTGAGTTAAAATGTGCACCGTATTTGCTATTGGGGTTACTGACACAGTGTTATTCTTTTTGCTAGACCAAATCGCCCAACAAGTTGAAGATCCGGGCCTGAAACACTCTTCTCAAACGCTTGTAGGGTTGGAACTCAGCACTCGCCACGCGGCTGAATTCTTTGGCTTTTACATATGCCGATTCGCGCTTAACGACATTGGTATAATGCTCGATAAGTTCATCAAGAGAGGTAGTGAATGGGTTCTCCTTTGAGCAAACACAGGTTGCTTTTATTCCTCTTTTGACGTTGCGCTTTCCTTTCACGGACCGCCACCTATAGCTATACCCCTGTGGCAGGTTGATCTTTTGGCTGGCATCTGGCAGTTTCTTATTACATTTATGATGATGACGCAACCCATCACGCTATATTTATGATAGTTATTTTGTCTACGCAATACCCCATGTCATGTATATAAGTTCCAATATATGTATACATAACTACGTCTCAATCATATCAGTTTCCGGTACGGCCATGTTGGCACCACCATGAATGCCTTCCGTCCGTGCCCCAGTGCCAATGATGGTACGAACGAAGATTAAATAATAGGAAAACCTACTGTGTAAACTGTAACATAAGAAAATAGGGGTATTCAGCTCGTTTACAAGAATGTGATCTCTCAATATTGCCCTGCGCCAGAGAGTTTTACTGAATGTGAGTCGGACTGACTCCTTGGAGGTACTCATCCGCCTTCCTGATGATTTCCAGAATGAGTACTTGAAGTCACTCGACATCGCATCCTCTTCCCTGTGCTAGGGACTACTAAAGTAGCTTTTCAAGTCAGATTCTGAGGTCCATTCTCAGAAAATTTCCCCCGAAGACCTGAGGCAAATTTGACGGCGCCGTTCTGCGTCACGAAGTATTTCCGCAGATAGCTTGAGACTTGGCGCTAGGTGTGCGTACCGGTCGACCTCTGTTATCACGCTAGATATAATACTATCGACGCGGAATGTAGAGGGCAGTAAAGCCGCGAGTGCAGGAGACATAGTTGCGCCCATTATCAGTAGTGACTGGGATACCATTGATAGAGCACCTTGCCAGAGATACGGGAGATGGCCGTCACGATGACTAGTCACATTCTCTAGTTGGCATAGGGTAGCCTCTAAGCAACGTCGGCAACATTCTCTTACCCATGAATCGCCGGATGTCTGCTCATTCTCAAAAACTGCTAGGATATAAGGCCGGTAGATGATTGTTCGGCAGGCGAAGTACCGAAGTCGGAGGACAGTTTGAACGGGCTGCGAAATGGGGGTGTGGGATAGAGGAAACCGGACGGGTTGGGGAAGACCGTCGTACCATTGGGATAATTGGAAGTCTAATTCCGACACGATTGGTGCTAGGGAAGTGAGCGTGAGGGTGTCGTCCCTCTGGTAGATCATGTGGCTAACCCGATTGAGTAATCGCCTCAGGGCAATCTCAGCTAGGAAGTACCAGAGTTCGTCATGACCAACACGGTTGGCAAGATTATGTTTAGAATTTTCGTCGTTCTCACCTGCATCATCGTCGTCATAATCCTCATCATCCTCATCAAATTTCCCCGGAAGATCGACGAGCTCCTCAAAATTCACAATTCCAGAGTGCGGTAGATCTAACTCAGCCAAAAGATCACTTTCATATAGGAGGGCATTCCAATATACCCTCACACTTAGCTCCCGCCATTGGATAGGAACACGAGATGGGTTGCCGAATAATAACTGTAACTTGATGCTGGCGTTTGATAGCAATGTCCATGCTTCAAGTGGCCGGACCAAGTAAAATAAGTAAGCAGCTGTTAGGATAATACATTGGGCGGCAGCTATAGAGTTGCGCATAATGACAGACGGCAGAAGATTCCATGCCGCCATAAAATATGAAAAACCAGGGGGATTCTTGTCCGTCGGTACCAAAGCGATACTGCCGCACCGGGCAGCACAGCCAAGAGCAAAAACCAAAAGAGCAACGCAACTCTCTGGACCTTCTCTGAAACTAAGAGAAACAGCCGCATTATAATATCGTGGCCATGTATATGGATTAACACACGCATACCAAACGTTGACTAATTCAAAGAAGGTTTCGATATAATCCGGGGCGTGGGACAGATCAAGCGCAGTGGGAGCATCCATTCTGAGCGGCTCACGGGCCATTTCTAACTGTAGTAGCGTTTGCGGATTATATGGGCGAGCCACCAAGTCCCCAATCAAGGGCCAATTCAAAAGATTAAGTGCCGGGGTGGTGTGTACTTTGGGCATTGTTGATATGCTTGTTGGCGGGTTTGCCCATGAGCCGAGTCCGACAATGCAGGTTGTTCTTCCAGGTACAACTGGATGCCTAGATGATTTCGCCACGGCGTCATCGCTTCTAATATTGATGTCGTTACTTGTTGCGGGCGAAGCCGAGGACAGCGTCAAGCGAGCATTTTCTGCTGCTAGGCTAGTCTGTAGTAGTCCCTCGATTCTTGTGAGCCTTTCAATGATCAATTTATCCCCAGCATCTAGCTTTATGCCGGGTTCTCTGTAGACACACTCGGCATCAAGGTCAGTGCAGAGTTGGCACTTTGGGCGTGCTCCGTTGCACCTAGTTTTCCGTAAACGACATATTTGACACTACTTTGTTTATACTTAATGGTTAACAATGCTTAGATAGATGACCATTAAAAAAAAAAAAAAGGGGTGGTGAAAGCAGGCAAAGCTCATATTCAAAAGTGTGCGAATGATCAGAACAAGTGCAAGTCAAAGACGATAAGGATGGAGGACAGTGAAGATACATACAGCAATAGTAGCACGTCTTCGGGGGTATTCAGTGGCTTCGGAACTGGGGCGCTTTTTTTTGTCCGCCAACTCATTTAAAACCGTTGGTGAATAAGAGCTGAAGGATAACTCCCTGTCCCTCTCCGGGGAAGTAGACATAGTTTCGGATGTGGAAATGATTAGTATAAACACAGACGGAGCAGGCCGCTGTGGAGGAGTGCAAGCCACTTTATATACGCAGGCAAGCTTTGTGTGTCAACAAAATCACTGGCCATTCGTACCGTTGCGCTATTCAAAGCAAGTGTCCAAGCTGTAGTGCTCCTAGCATTTTTGGTTAAGAACCCCAACGCGTAGGATATTTTGAACACTTCAATTAAGCCTTTGTCGTATCGGTGAACGCCTTGCGCTGGGGGCAGAGTTCGGTAATCGAAACCAAATCGACAACTGGGTGAGTAGTGGTTCTAAATCGTCCTCGAAACAGCGAGAGAAATGGAATAAAGGGAAAACTTCTGGAATAGGCGTGGCACGGATACTTGAAGAACCCTCGGCAGTAATGAATACCGTATGGAAGCTAACCACCATGTACGGAATAGGAATAACCCAGGGCCCTCCTGTTTGCTCGGAGAGGAGATGGTATGGCCTCGAGCCAACAATTATGTGCTGGTGACTCATGATTGCCCCATGTTCCCCCCGCCTTTCAAGGCTCTCTTAAGCTGTATCGGCCTTCTGGTTGAGCGGGGAAGCATCAATGACGGCGGTTTGTTTGGGTTCCTGTACGGACCGTTGACCCCACGTGAGAAGATGGCGGGGCCACTGTGCGATGTACTTGAGCACTGCGTAGCGAGTACTACACTGGTGTCGTAAAATTCCAACCGAGAGCAATGATAAAATCAACTCTGGCACGATTACCTGTACCAAACTCAAGCATCAAGCCTGGCCGAGGCCCTTGTTTCAGGCGGCCGGGGTTCGTTTATCATACCCTTCGAGATACGGTCTATCGTCCGTGGTGGATGCTCAACGGAACGATCCAATTTAATTTGGAGACGAGAATCCTATTCGCCATCCCCGTGGTGACTCTGTCCAGTTGGAACTGTTGGCGAACTTGCTTGAAATGGAAGAGTTGCATTGGCGGGCTGAGGAGCTTGTCATCCCTCCTGAAGCGACTCCAGTTAAGCAGCCAATCCAAGGTGAAGACCTAACCAGCCGAGCTCAGTGCTGGAGTCCGATCTTTGAACAGATTATGACTGTAACTTTGAATTTTTGTGTCTATTATTACGTACTAGAGACCGAATACGACTGTAAATATGGAGTAGACTTGGAATTAGACGGAGGCGAGAGGACAGTCTCATGTCGGGTCTGGCGGGCCCCAGCCGGAGATGCTCGTTGCCAAATTTGGAGTAGTGTAATCAACGCGTGGATTTCTCCAAAACAAAGCAACGCGAGATCAGCCACAATCACATCTACCACGCAAAAAACATCCCATTCGCGTCTCACAATCTGAAGGCACATCAAACTCTCATTTAATTCTGGTTCCCATTGACTGAATCGCGCTAGCGATACTCGAAAGCGAACGCAATACATCCTTCCTCAGCAACACGTTGATATCGATATCATGCCCAGACCGGCAGCAAAGCGCAACCGTTTGGCGACGGTAGCCTCGAAACAGACTCAGAGTCATGATTCCTCGCGAGATATCGTTGGGTCTCGCGATATTTCACGGTCACCCAAAAGTGATGCATTGGGCAGTTCGCGACTTGCGAATAGCGCCGACCCATCCGATATTATACGACAGCTAAGGAACCAAACACCTCTCAGCAAAGCGCACGGATTTGCATTAGGGTCATCACCTGGAACCGAACAGGGGGCTACAGGTAGCCGACCACCTACGAGGGCCCGAGGCTACTCTTCTACCCTTTCTATTGCTGGGCGCAAAGGAGATACGAGCTCGAGGATCCCGGGGACGCCTGCTTTTGAGAGTTCAATATTGAGCAACTTCAGACGACGACCGCGGCAAGCGAGTATTCTACATATGATGCACGATGAGGATGGGTCATCGGATCTCGATGACGACGACTTTCTCGGTGGCTTAAGCCCAGAGGATGAATCAACACCATTAAATATTTCGCGAGGGAAATCATTGGTGCTTAGGCCTGCTGTGTCTTCCCCAGAAAAATCTCCATCTTTACTTTCAAGTGGTGAATCTTCGAAGCGCAAACGGTCAGTCGACGAAACCGAAGTCTCCAACTCGTTTCTCGATTTTGAAAGAAGCACACCTGGGTCCCCAGTATTAGGAATGGACACAAGACAGAGAGAATCCCCCGTTGATCTGCCCCGTTCAACAACACAATCTCCGGCTACTTTCAGTGAGACGATGGTACCGCCGATGAGCAGTCCTGTTCCGGGTCTCACTCATGCAATGTCTACACCAGATTCAGATCGGCAGGTTTCTCGTGCAAACCAAGTCCAGGTCCCTATGAACGTACAGCCAAGTGATAACAAGCTTCATATCTCAACAGCAGCACTTCAAGATAAACTTTTGCCTCGAAGGCGCCAGAAGAGGGTAGCGCGTCAGGGCGCATCCAGATTTGACGTCCTCAGCGAGTCGGATGGAGATGAAGTTGCTACACCTTCGCCAGATGATGACGAATTGAGTTACTTACCCTTCCGGAATCGGTCTCATATGCGACGACATCCAGGGAATAAGCCGAAACTGGTCACCAGTAATCGAGGCAAGACAGATATGAAACCTCACGGCAAAAATACCAAAATTATTAAACAAAACGGCATTAGCTCCCGTAAAGAAACAAATAATGGCAGAGAGAACGAGTCAACCGAGGTGTCCTCACCTTTGTCATCGGCCCTTGAGTCCGACGAGCTCGATTCTGAATTCGACCTTGAACAGGAGCTTCCGATCAAGGCTTATTTAAGTGAAGAGTTAAGAATGCAGGCTCTAAAATTCGCAGAGGTGGATAAATGGCAGATGGAGTTTGAGGATGTGATCACCAGCACTCATGAGAATGTGGCCTTTAGGTGAATGCTGTTCGATGCCCAAGATACGAGTTTCTCTTATGTTTGAGCTAGGCGTTAAATGTAAAACCGAGAAGTTACCTAAACCATCCCCCCTGTAGACTAACTTTAGATTTCATCGCGTCACCGGCGATTCAACTCCGCTGTCAAATGGAACCCCGCTAGTTTGCCGAGCAGGGCCGATGTAAGCCGCCGTTGCATTGGACACACATAAAATAGCTCCAGCCCCCAGAAAAGTGCGCTTGAACTTTTTTTACATAGTAGAAGGAGCTGAAAAATCATGACTTCTCTTGATACCATCCTCGCGTCCAAATATCCCGCCAAAGCACATGCTCGTCGGGTTGCCGACGGTCTCAAGGCTTTTGGTCATAGTGGAGGCGCCATCTACCTAGAAGCTCAAAAAACCCGCTTAATAGAAGATAATGACGAGCCGGTGCCCTTCAGGTAAGTGATATTTGGTCATGAATGGGCTACTATGCTTTGTTGGCAGGCCGTATTATTTGTGAGAATGTTGCTTATTTGTTGACTATCACAGACAACGACGTCCTTTCTTTTATCTCTCAGGGTGTTTGCTGCCGGACTCGTCTCTGATCTACAATATTGATTCTGATCAGTTAACACTCTTCATTCCTCCAATTAACCCAGATGAAGTGATCTGGTCCGGCCTTCCACTGTCACCTGCGGAGGCACTCGAGCGATATGATGTCGATAATGTGCTAGAGACACCTGAAGTCAATGCAACATTGGCGAAAATTGCTGGCGCAAAAGGCAGTAAATGTGCTGCTTTTGCGATTGCGGAGCAGGTATCGGAAGATATAAGATTCGAGGGCTTTGAAACCAACTTTAGCGTACTGAAGGGTGTCATCGAGGAGACTCGTGTAATCAAAGATAGCTACGAGGTTGCGCTTCTGAGGAAAGCAAACGATATATCCGCAAAGGCCCATATTGCAGCCATCAAAGCCGCCAAAATTGCCACTAATGAGCGTGAAATTGAGGCAGCGTTCATTGCAGCCTGTATCGCTAATGGAGCCCGCGAACAATCGTATCATCCGATTGTTGCCTGCGGTGAGAACGGAGCCACTCTACATTATGGAAAGAACGACGAGAACTTGGTCGACCAGGCTACACACCGGAGGAAGGACAGTGTTCTAATTGATGCCGGCGGAGAATACCGTACTTACTGTGCAGATATCACCCGCGCGTTTCCGCTGAACGGTAAATTCCTGCCAGAAGCTCGCCAAATCTACGAGATTGTGCTACAGATGCAATTGGAGTGCATCGATATGCTGAAGGAGGGGGTGCAGTGGGAAGACGTCCACGCGTACGCACACCGCATTGCGATCAAGGGCTTGCTGAAGCTGGGGATCCTGCGCGGTTCAGAGGACGAGTTATTTGACAAGCGGATTAGCGTTGCTTTCTTCCCACACGGCCTTGGTCATTACCTTGGAATGGATACGCATGACACTGGCGGCAACCCGAATTATGAGGACAATGATACTATGTTCAGGTATCTTCGTGTCCGGGGTCAGCTACCGGCTGGGTCTGTTATCACCGTTGAGCCGGGTGTAAGTCTTATCACTCCATTGTGCTGTCCCTAATTATTAATTACTGACTGTTTCTGCTATAGATTTATTTCTGCCGTTTCATCATTGAGCCGTTCCTCAAGAACCCTGATCTCCAAAAGTATATTGATGTGGATACCCTGCAGCGATACTGGGCTGTCGGTGGAGTCCGCATCGAAGATAATGTCCATATTACTAAGAATGGGCACGACAACCTGACTACAGCGCCTAAGGTGATAGAGGAGATCGAGGCTCTGGCTGCTTAGGGCCACAACTTTATAAAATACTGAATCCCAAACCTCATGCCCTCGAAAGGACATCATATATTACAGAACCATAGAGTAGCACAGCTGTAAAGGAAATCTTAAGTACGTAGAATCACCGATCAGTGGGTTTATAGGAGGCCCAGGACCTGCGGGCACAAAAACACATGGCGGTGCGTCGAGAAAAGCGGAGGTAGGAGGTTGGGCTCGGTGACAAGAAGATTACAAATGACGATGGATCGATCCGTTGATAAGTACGCCCCAAATTGCGAGTCTCTTATCGACAATCCAGTTTGTGCCGCCTACAGGCCACTGCGAAGTCGCTTCCTTCCACTCCCCTTCACTCCAGATTCTGTCTCTGCTCGGTCCTGTGCGCGTTTCTCTTTTTGGTCCAGGACCACGGTCAGGACGTCAAAACAAAACTGCGGAACATCGAGACATAGCTGCTTAAAGTCTTCGGCCGCTTCATGGCGCAAGACATGGCTCCTCATACCCCAAAAGTTCGACACGGGCTTGCGAATAGTAATATCATCGGGCGCCGTATTTGCATATACATAGCGGGCATAGGCCAATTCGCCGCGCGAGGTACTGTTGATGCGATGTATCTTAGAATGCGCAAGGGACTTCAGGGCAGGAATACCCAGTTTCTCTGCCAGAGTGTATACACGAGCATGTTTGAGGAGCTGTTCGCCAGTATCATCTGCTCCATCAGCGGTTTGTGGTTGTGAAGGTGCATAGTCTCGTGTATATTGATACTGTAGGAAATAGCCAAACGCTTCGACGTCCTCATAAGGGAGCTCAACCCGGCGCTATGGAATGTATGGTCAATTAAAGAACACCACCAGACGGAAAATAATGTGCCACTTACCGGACCTTCACCAAATGCTTTAACCTGCTCGGATAGCAAAGGCGATTCCAACAGTAAACTCTGGTGGGCAGTCATGGCAGTCTTTTTATCGTCGCTTCCAACAATAAGCTCGACAATTGGTGATGTCAAGAAACTATCGAGAAGGTTCGTGAGTATAGTCCCCATGGTTGCGGTTGAAAATAACACATAGACAGGCTTCAAGGGACACAAGTGAACGCGGCCGGGGCGTTGTAAACTTACTCAAGGAAGTGAAGCAATTTTGGGGGCTGCGGTTCTTCTGTTGGTTGCGCATCTGGCAAAGAAACGCCTTGTGTCTGTTCTGTTTGACCGTCATTTCCTGCGCTTGGAGCCGGCGTCATCTCTGCATCGACTAAAGTTTGCGTGCTCCGCACTGCATCTTCAGTTCCACCAACCTGCACCTGCGGGGCCGAATCCATTTTCGAATATCATGCGACAACTATGCCTAATCCAGCAACATAGATACTCGTGCTTCAGGCCGGATGTAAAGGATCTAGAGTGCAAGATAAGCTCGGGAAGTGTACAAAGGACAGTTGGAAAATAGTTAATTGAAGCTGATTGTAACTAACTGAAGGCAAATGAGCTCTAAATCAAGCTGCTACGGAGCTGTGTGCCTAGAAGAGAAATTGGGTATCCAATTAGGTGAAATATGGGAGACAAAGTTTGCCGGTTCAAACTTGATTGTAATCTGATGTTCAAGTAAACAGTCTGTTGAACACTATCAGCACGTGACCTGATATTGTGCTCTGGCCCTGCCGAGATGATTAGTGCGTAGCCTACTATTATTAGATTCAGATGACCTCAACCAGCCCCGAGGACTACACCAGCTAGAGTGCTGGACTGTCAGGCAGACCAGCGATGTCTCTGCTGCCAAATTGAACATCATGCCGTAGTTAGTTACAGACCCTTACTTAGTTAGTAAGGGTGCCCTTTTTGGTCAAGTGGTGAAATTGTATCTTTGTAGATCGACCAAGTCAAAATCAAAACCGCAGTTGATACACCTATGCTTTCTTCGCAAACATTGTAAGCTTCTGGCGCCGTTTCGTGTCTCAAGAGGTTGCAGTATAGACGCACCTCCATTGTCCACAAGTGTTCTCCATGGACGCGAGTATAAATGATCGCGCCACCCTAGTCGCATCCATTGAGCAGCATACGACGTAATTGCTGCCTGACAGCCCGAGGGCGCATCACCATATATGGTGCACATGAGGGTGCGGCTAATGACGGGGATTTCCAGTTGCAGCCGACGGAGGAATTTGGATCCACCCCCACCGCCAACTACAAGTGGCTTGTTAATCAAAGAATTTCAATCGTCCACACTTCAAACACGCCAATCCATATGTTCCGGTCATTTTTACTTCGATCACAGAAGTATTATTTCGCACGAAGCACGCTCCACGGAAATTCAACCAAAGCCAACCTCTGCATACGTAGCATGGCGACTCTCATCAACCCCACAAGGGACCCTAATACTTTGTCCAACTATAATAATTGGATTTGTACTCATAGCACTGTGAACTTTGAGATCCTTTTTGAGCAAAGGAAGCTTGTCGGAAATGTTATCCACAGGCTCAGATCAGCCACCAATGCTGAGACCCAGGAGGTTATTCTTGATTCGCACCACGTCGATATCGGTGACGTTCAGGTTGCGGGGTTACCCGTGAAATGGGAGCTTCTTCCTCCACTGGGCCCTTACGGGACCGCGTTGAAAATTAAGCTTGAAAATCCCGTTAAACTTGATGAAATAATTGACGTTAATGTATGCCGGGTCGCTGAGGTTAGTCACCGGCCAGACCAATGTGCTGACGAGGGTTATAGATCTCTATCGAAACAACTGAGAAATGCACCGCTCTCCAGTGGCTAACTCTGGCCCAGACATCAAACAAGAAGCACCCGTATATGTGTATGTAGCCCTTCCGAGGTTTTGTGGCTGCTTATTGTATTTAGTTAGAGCTAATGGTCGTTGGGATCCAGTCTCTCAGTGTCAGGCCATCCACGCCCGGTCAATTTTTCCATGTCAGGATACGCCTGATGTTAAGAGCACTTTTGACTTTAACATCACTTCGCATTTGCCCGTGATTGCTAGTGGCCTGCCTGTTCGCAAGTCCTCGAGCAAGCCGAAACCTGGCGAAAAGAGCCTTTACCAATTCCACCAAAAAGTCCCTATTCCAAGCTACCTGTTTGCTTTGGCTAGTGGGTGAGTGCAAATGTCACCAACCACAACTGTATTCACTCTTTCCTCTACTAATTTAGATAGCGATATTGTGGAGGCTACTGTTGGGCCACGAAGTGTTGTTGCAACCAGCCCTGATAAGCTTCAGGAATGCCAGTGGGAACTCGAGGCAGACACGGAGAGGTTTATTGATACGATAGAGGTTTGCTTATAGACTTGTTCTTATCAGAATATATAACTAATTTGTGAGTTTAGAAACTTATTTACCCCTATGCATGGGGCGAATTCAATGTCCTGATTCTTCCGCCCAGCTTCCCATACGGAGGTATGGAGAATCCGGTATTCACCTTTGCGACACCCAGCATAATTTCAAAGGTAGGCTCAAAAATAACCTGGGCACATTTTTTTGTCATTAATATAAACCACCAGGACCGGGAGAATGTCGACGTTATTGCCCATGAGCTGGCACATAGCTGGAGCGGCAATCTGGTAACTAGTGCTTCATGGGAGCATTTCTGGCTTAATGAAGGGTGGACAGTCTATCTGGAGAGACGCGTAAGCTCTGAAATCATACTTATTGTTGTTATGTGAATGTTGAGCACAGTTGACTGTTGTACAGATACTAGCTGCGATGTGAGTGATCTTATTCTGTTATGTCTTCAGCTTAAACGTTCATTGACCGGCCTCAATTTCATAGACATGGTGAAAAGTATCGCCATTTCTCGGCTATTATAGGGTGGAAGTCACTTAGAGATTCTGTTGAGCGCTATGGTCATGACCATGAATTCACAAAATTGGTTCCAACTCTCAAGGGAAATGATCCAGATGATGCGTTCTCAAGCATCCCGTACGAGAAAGGGTTTAATTTCCTGTTTTACCTGGAAAACCTTATTGGAAAGGATAAATTCGATCGGTTCATTCCCCATGTGAGTCTGCCAGTTTGCTCTTGTCCTGATAGATTTGATGTTGATTTCTTCTAGTATTTCACTACCTTCAAAGAGAAATCGTTGGACTCTGACGAATTCAAGTCCACGCTTCTGAGTTTCTTTGGACCGGATGCTGAAGCCTCCAAAATTTTGCGGGAGGTAGATTGGGATGCCTGGTTCTACAAACCTGGTCTGCCTCCGAAACCAGACTTTGATACGTCGTTAGCCAATGTTGTTTATGAACTGGCTAACAAATGGAGGAGCCTTCCCGAGTTTTCATTCCACCCTCAACCGAGCGATATCCAAGGATTGACAGCAAACCAGATTGTCGTCTTTTTAGAACAGGTCCTGCTTTTTGAACAGCCTCTGACTGCTGATCTGTCCAAGATTATGGGTGAAGTTTATGGGTTCGCTAAGAGTGAGAATATTGAGGTTTCCAATCTATATCTTCAAATTGGTCTTAAGGCTGGCGACAAGAGTGTGATTGAGCCAACCGTAGATCTTCTGGGAAAGATTGGAAGGATGAAATTCGTGCGACCACTGTAAGAAACCCACGCCAAAGAACAGTTGGTTAGGCGGGCTAACTAGTGCACAGATATCGAACTTTGCAAAAGGTTGATCATCAAGTGGCGATTGATACCTTTGGAAAGTATAAAGATTTTTACCATCCAATTTGTCGGGGTATGGTCGAAAAGGACCTTTTTTAGCAAAAGAACGTGTCATTTATTTAAGTAGCACCGCCCTTTAACAACCCGCACAGGCTGTTTCAATTGGTCTACCCTAAGCCTGCTGAGGGTTGGGAGCCCTTCTCAAGGACACTACGTACTTAGGTCCATAAATCTACCAGAAACATATAAGTTTCCATTTAAACCTTGCAGTTCTCTAGCATAACTAGACACCACCGCAAGCGGCATATACTATACAAATGAAGCCCTCTCTCACAGCCCAAGTCATATCGTACAAATGTCACACGTAAAAATAAGCCCTATTTTCCCGGCATATTCACAACTATCGCTTCTTCTCTACCAAAAGCTTGTCTGCATCAGAGGGTGAAAACACACCAGGTTTGCCGTTGTTCGATGTACCTAACTGGAAGATCAGATCCGCATCATCCAGCTTCGACAGTTCTGAGAGCAACCGCCGCATATAGGCGACAACACGCGCAACTTTCTCCCACTCAATCTCCTTCCCGTCAGAGGTGTTATAGCTCGCTTTCCACAAATTTCTCCACACGGCAGCACCTAAAACGGCATCTCCTTTGATGAGACCCTCGTCGTATGCGGCGAGAACACCACGCCACTGGATGAAGAGGTCCTTCAAGAACTTATTTCTTATAGCACGACTCGTCAAGCCATGGAGCACGTCCATACGATGCTCGGCACTATGTGAAAAGTGGTCGATCAAATGGCGCGAATACGTCTGAAGACTCTCGTGGGATGGTAGTGCCCGAAGTCGAGCCGTTAAAAGGTACATGTGGAGGAAAGTAATCTGAGACCACGTTGAAAAGGTTGGGACAAGACCTAATTCTAATAGTGGAAAAAGCGCAGAGTATTTATGTCAGCTCCTATTACTCGATGCAGAAAGAACACTCGAGTATGACCGGAAAACAAACCTTGATACCACCAACCGTCTCCGACACCTAGATCTTCCCCGGCCTCCGTCTTGGGAACCTGGGCGTTCTTCTCTTGTAGTTGGGGTATCCTGTAGTCCCCTTGGCGGGAACAAGCCTCGAATAGTTTCTGGGTCATTCCGTACGCAATGTAGGTTTCGGTCGCTCCACCAGGGCGCGGTGCTATAGCTCGCGCAAGTCTAGATGCGAACCTGGAGCCGTGCGTATTGACATTGGAAATTGGTGTCCTATGGGGTTTTGACGGGCGAGTTGTCTCCGGTGGACCCGCTGATAATGTGCATAACGAACGTCGTGAAGTAATGACTAGAGAAGCTGGGCGATTTGTATTCTGCACCTGTGTCTCCAATTAGTTGCGATGGAAAGGGAGTGTTTTCTTTCAGCAGTTCTCGAAGCTCAAGTATGGACAATCCGCAAGATTTTAAGCCACGGGGAAAGTGATGATAGTACCTGAAGTTTGAAGTATTGGCGACTGAGCTTCCCGCACCAGAAGCTGTTGAATTGTTTGGGCTGCATCTTAGACGAGGAATTACTCCAGCGCGAACTCCGGTCTTTGCTGGACCTTTGGTGAGTTATGAAAAATGGGCGATCATGGGTGTTTGCACTGTTTGCTGCCTGGCAGATTAGCACTCATCCTAATTGGTGGGTCGTAATCCTCAATCAGCATGGAGATGGGTGGGAAGGTAGGATACGAAGAAGTCAAGGTAGGTCCAACTGCTAGCTGGCTTTGATTTCTCAAGGAAAAGATGTCTGCTCTATCGTATGTATTTACACACAGGGGGTTAAGCTCTCCCACTGAACTTTGGCCTTATTGCTTCATTGGCCGGTCAAAGGAAATCAACCTAATGTTGCCGTGTAGGGTACCATACCAATGGGTCGGGGAGTTACTAGCTAACCAAGCGTGGGAAGCGGCGCCGGTTTATGTACCTGGACACCAACAGGTACCCATCGTCCTTAATAATCCTAGTATCAGTAAAAGGATTGCAGATGAGCGTCTGAATATAGGTTGCTTCCGAGTGTCTTCAAGCCGCCGAGCAGTCCCTCGCACCTTTATGCTCGGTAAAGTATGTAGTCGAAGTACGAATACGATTTCGCCTTTTTGAATTATTCACCGAGAACGACTCGCTCTAGTCGCTTATCTATTACGGGGAGAAGTTCAGAAAGTCTGTTGGCGTCTCTCATGATCGCTGGTATATCATCTCGTGAGCTGGCCAAGTTCTATATATGTATTAGCTTTGAAATCCGCTATTCTCAAATTAAACTTAACACACCTGCCGGACTGTCTCATATTCACATTCTCTGGCCTGATACTCTCTTATTATTTCGGACGTGTCAAAGTCGACATAGACCCTTGTATCCCGAAGCCGAAAGAGAACGTTGTCCAATCTCATGAAAAACCTTGACAGAAGGAGAAGTCTGTCTGGCATAACACGGATTTTGCATGACAGCATAGTAATCCCGTTATCGGCCAGCTCGTCTTCGTATAGTACTACGTCGTCGAAGAACAATATTGGGTCGGGGCGTTTAAGTAATTCTATCGGTATAGGAGTTGAGGCCTCTTCAAAGTCGTGACCTTGGGCAAACAAAACGGTTCCTTTGTAGTCTGTACTATACGACCAGTCAAATGGCTTGACAACCTCCTTTATACCTTCGTGAGTTGTCTCTCTGTTAAACAATCAGCGGTCGGGACTGGTGTCAGCCAACACATGTTCAGCTCACCTGCTCTTTTGCCATTCTCTTGAATACGCTACCTTGAGCATAGACTCTCCAGTCTTATCCACGTGGTCTAACGCATCAAATGCGTTAAAATTGATTTTCCATCCACTTTTTTCGTGTTCAATCGAAACAAAGTTATCGCCAAATATCATTTCTGGAGGAGCGATGCCAAGATCTTTTGTCATAGTTTCAATGGGCTCTGCCTTGAGTATGGGGAGCTTCTGAGTCGAAATCTTAAATCCCTTTACGACAATAGAATCGGGCGTCTGCCGGGTGGGCGAGACTGCAGCTGTATCTCCCGCGATGACGACGGGCGCTGCGCGGCCATTCGAAGTCATGTTTTTCTATGCGAAATGGCGATAATTTGGGATTATAAAAAACATGAATGGCCAGGTTTCCGTAGCCGAATATCTTTCTATATGAAAATAGTATAGAATAGAGTAAATCAATAACAGTGATTTTTAAGTTTGGAATGAATCGCACTGGTGCGCGCTGCGGAGAGCAGTTTCAATACCCCGCGGTGTCCGGAGAAAGGTGCGGTCCGACAGGTTGCCGTGGTGACAAGTAGAGCTTCAAGCCACCATAAACACCTGATGAGTTCTCAAATCCAACTTCAATTTCTTTTCCCATCGACAACCGGTGCTTTCGATAATACCTTCCGTTACACATCTACTTTTTAAATACTCAATAATGCTTGCTTAAACATATTATATTAAACTCTTCCCCGTCTCATTCGCTCCCCCCTTCCCCAACGATCCTCACACTACAATTCGCACTCATGGCGACTAAGACCTTGGAAGCTCGTTTCGAGCACCTCTCTGTTAAGGATGATGCCGGAACAGGAAACAAATCAGCTGGCTATCCTAAGCACAAGGTATATTTGTTATATCTAGGGCTCTATTAAGACGCTCCTACTAATACTGCTACCCAGAGTTCGCTATCAACTGCTGTATCCCTTTCCGGACTTGGAGTCACAGGACAGCTTACAAGCGGTGCGAACCGGTCGAATTTGCTCAAGCTAGCCTTGCAGAACACCAATGACAATAAGGTCAACTCCATGAACGTGCCTCAATCTCCCGGGAAAGTCACTCAAAACCCCTCATCGCTACGCAGCCTGGACGAAAACGGAGATTATGATCAGCCAGCACCCAGAAAGCTACATCTTGGAATGTTCGAGATCGGGAAGCCTTTGGGAAAGGGAAAGTTTGGCCGAGTATACCTCGCCAAAGAACGCTCATCCGGTTTTGTATGCGCACTGAAGGTTTTGCATAAGTCTGAACTGCAACAGGGCGGAGTCCAGAAGCAGGTCAGGCGGGAAATTGAAATTCAGAGCAACCTACGCCATCCGAATGTTCTTCGGCTTTATGGTCATTTTCAGGACAGCAAACGAATCTTTCTTATTCTGGAGTTCGCGGGCCGAGGGGAGCTGTATAAGCACCTGCGGAAGGAGCACCGGTTCCCCGAGTGGAAAGCTGCTCATTATATTGCGCAGATGGCCTCTGCATTGAAGTATCTGCACAAAAAGCACGTTATGCATCGGGATATCAAGCCAGAGAATATTCTGGTGGGTATACACGGCGAGATCAAAATCAGTGATTTTGGCTGGAGTGTTCATGCGCCGAACAATCGTCGGCAAACAATGTGTGGGACGCTAGATTATCTGCCTCCCGAGATGCTCAACTCTAACCCGCAGGGCAACTTTTACAATGAGAAGGTCGACTTGTGGAGTTTGGGTGTTCTAACCTACGAATTTCTTGTTGGAGAAGCGCCTTTCGAAGACACCCCAGTTATGACGCAAAGAAGGATTCAACGAGGAGACATGCAAGTTCCTTCGTTTGTGAGCCCCGAGGCTAGGGACTTGATCAAAAGAGTAAGTTTCTACAGTCAGTACCAGGTCTCTATTGGAGTTTTAACCTTTCTTAGCTGCTCGTACTTGATCCCGAAAAACGGATTTCACTTGACGAGATCCAGAAGCATCCCTGGATTCTCAAACATTGCGCAAAAGACGACCGGGGCATTAAACGGAGCTCAGGTTCGTCAAAGGACGGCAAAGCATAATGGTCATACGCATCGCAAGGGGTTTGGGTGTTTTGTCTTTGGTTTAGTTGTCGTCTGCTTTCATGGAGTTTAGTATATGGTGCTAAATGGTCTGCTTGGTTTTCATTACAATTATTTTCAGAATTAGCCACCGTGGACACAGAGTCTGTTTGTTCTCTTCCCAGCGTCCCAAATATGATACAATATGGTACATTTAAAAAGCCCCTGATGCCACAATTAAGAACCCGATCAGTATACGCCTATTACAACAAAGGAAGCATTATTATCGATAGATTTCGTCGAACGGCCGCGTGTCTCTAAAGCAACTGTCCCAAACCTCATTAACTACTTTCTCAGCGTGGGCTTTATCTTGACATCCTGGTCGTGCCTGTACTGATAAAATAGCCCTTCGCCGAACACACTCTTGGTGTTGTTGTGTAAGTTTCCACTGGCCACGTCGGAAGAACTCTCGGGCCCATCGACATTCTCCGCTCAATGAGCTGGCTCGAATCTGTTCAACATTAGTTAGTGTTTTCTGGGACATCAAAGGCTTTTTTTTTTCTTTTTTCTTTTTTTCGGTACCTCTGAACAAGCCGCATGCCTCAGGTTGTCAGTCCAATTAACCTTGAATCTTAAATGATCATAGGCATGGACCATCTCGTGGGCCAATGTATCCTCCAGATGCCCTTGGTCTTTCATTTCATTTGCGCAAAGCAAAATACCATATTCAGGATCAAAGCCCCCTGCTTTCCGGTTCGTACATCGACGACAATAAATATTATGGCTTGACAAATCACCGCCCAACTGCCGGATGCTGTCACTCATATACCGGATAACTGGGCCTTTTCAAGACATTTTTATTAGCCGCATGTTTAACTGGGCCAATTGGCTTCTGAAGCCGGGGAACTCTCAAACTTACTGTACTGCAAGAGATAGTCTCTTTGGTCATCACAGCGCTTGCAGTCTTCCGTTTCGTTTCGCAGATCTCGTGCTACGCGAAATTTCTCTCTTCCCTCAGCCGTCATCTTCCCTGTGAGGATGTTGAAGATGTTGCGCCAATGTGTAAACGTGTCATCTCCAGCTTGAAATCCCGTATCAGCGTCCTTTTTCGGTGCCGGCAGCTCACTACTCGATTGTGGGCCTGACATGACGTTTCTGATAGTTGGGATGTATGTTGGTGTACCTGACCATTGATATTCGAATCAAGAGCGAAGTTCGGCGAAGCTCTCCGCATTTTACCTTGGCGGTGTCCTGCGGCAGAAAGAAATCAACATCCTTGTTCGCAAATGAGTCAGTCGACTATGCTAACATAAACGAGGAGTTAAACGAAAAATATTCCTATTTGCCATATTATGTGATGTGAAGCAATCTGTTGTTTTTCTGGATACATTCAATTTCGCAGCGACAATGGCAACTGAGCGCCTGACCGTTGTCATCAAGTTGGGTGCGGGGATCCAGTAACCTTACAGTCACGGAAATTCTAACCACCTGTTTTCGAATAGGCACAAGCTCTATTGTCGATGAACATACCCATGAGCCTATTCTTTCAATTCTTACACTTATCGTCGAAACAGCTGCCAAGCTTCACCGTGACGGCCATAATGTTGTCCTGGTCTCTTCCGGTGCCGTTGGCGTGGGGTTGCGGAGAATGGATGTCGAGGAGAGACCAAAATATTTACCTCGTATACAGGTATGAGAGCCAATAAACAATTAGATCCATTATTTGAAAGCTGAATTGTTTGCAGGCGTTGGCAGCTGTTGGTCAGTGTCGGCTCATGAGCCTTTGGGACGGGCTATTTTCACATCTCCGGCTTCCGGTTGCCCAAATACTGCTGACTCGCAATGACATCGCAGATGTAAGTTATTTCTAGCTGGATATATCATTGCACCTTCTCTAATGATAGAAAGCGCACTCAATATGTTAATGCGCAAAATACTTTCGCGCAACTGTTTGATATGGGAGTGATCCCCATTGTCAACGAAAATGACACACTGGCTGTTTCAGTGAGTTATTTACAGGCTGCACGTATACTTTATCTGTATATGCTAATATACCCCACCAAGGAAATCAAATTTGGTGACAATGATACATTGTCGGCTATCACGGCGGCAATGGTCAAGGCGGACTACCTCTTTCTGATGACAGACGTTGATTGTCTCTATACAGCAAACCCGCGGACTGATCCTAATGCACAGCCAATTGAGGTAGTTTCAGACATTTCCTCACTAGAAGCAGATGTTTCTTCTGCCGGATCTGCGCTCGGGACTGGAGGCATGAGTACGAAAATTACAGCGGCGAGATTGGGAACTAGCGCTGGCGTGACAACAATCATCACCAAGAGTTCGAAACCCGGAAATATTCATGATGTTGTAAGATACCTTCAGGAGTTGAAGAAAGCAGTTGCATCCGATTCTGCAGATGGAGCGAACACCGCCTCTACATCGCAGACATCAAGTCCGCCCCTCCATACTCGGTTTCTTCCATCCGAAACTCCCATCCAATCACGTTCATTCTGGCTGCTTCACGGTCTGACACCTCATGGTACTCTATATATCGATCAAGGCGCATACGCTGCACTCCAGAAAAAGGCAAGTCTTCTCCCAGCAGGAGTTGTCGACGTTGACGGCCATTTTGGACAGCAGGAAGCGGTTCGGTTAGTGGTCGTGGAAAAAATATCCCCTGATGCTCTTAATGGCGATTTTCTTCACCCTGGCCAAGAGCCCAAAGAGGTTGGTCGTGCGTTGGTCAACTATGGTAGTCTTGAAATAGCTCGGATCATGGGCCACAGGAGTACACACATACAATCATTACTCGGGTATGCGGATAGTGAATACGTTTGTCTGCGCGAGAACATCTCGTTCTTTGGAAAGGATGAACATACACGACGATGAACGTTGCCAACGTAATTTTGCCTATACCATACCCCATTCATGGAAAATTATTGATATTTTTGAAAAGCGAACGATACCTACAATTATATGGCCTGATATTTGTTTCCTGACCTTTCTACCATCTTTGTGGACTACTTATCTTACTGTATATAGAGATCAAATATGATATTTGTCCGGCTGCAAGAGTGATAAAAACTCGTGGAATAAATATAAACAAGGGAGATCAATTCATCACCTACACATTATTTTGAACCGACAGGTACTCATGTGTCCGAGAGCTCACGCCGAGAAAGTTTTCAATTTGCCCACAACCTAATTCCAAAATCAACCCTCAGCGCCAGAACTATTTGATATTCACAAGTCTTAAGGATGCTGTGCAGGCGCAGCCTTGGGTTGTCCGTTAGTGAGAACGCTTGCAATCAACCGCCTAGGTCAAGTAATTCTGCAATATATAGCGTATACCACATACCGTGTTCTCAACCATAGTAACAGACTCTGTCTCAGAAGCAGTAAGTGTTGTCTCAACGGTTCCTGGTGACATATACTTTGTAGCAACTATGTACGGGCTGGACGGAAACTGGGGCGTTGGCGGAGTTGTCGCGATCGCAGTTCCAGGTTTCTTGGCCATTGGGGCATATCTAGTCGGGCCAGTCTGCAGGGGATAAGGGACTGCGTATGGATCCGCAGCGAGTTTTCGTTTCTGCATATCCACATCGGCTTCACTTTCGTTAATCCTGGGGTATAGGTCAGGTGTGAGAGACCCAGTTTCTTTCCAAGTTGCTGTTATCGCGTCGCGAGCTTTGACTGCAGTTTCTGCGCCTCGATTCGGACTATCGAGATTTGCAAGGACGGTAGATGCCAGGGCGAAGATGAGGGTGACCGTAAAAGTGCGACTGAGCTGCATAATGAGCGTCTTGTATAGTTCAAGGAGTTAGAGTCAATAGTAGCGCGGCGGAAGAAAATGGGAAAAGGGGGCAAGGTTGCAGATTAATGAGTGGAAAACAGAAGATATTTGAATAAGTGAAGACTTTATTATTTCCATCCACTGTCTTAGTTTCCACCCTGCTATGTACCCCCTTGGAAGATTGAGGTATGTAACCCTTCAAAACATTGATGGCCTGTATAATAAGGCCTTCAGGCAGTAGTAACATTTGGCCTTCATATTAAGGCATAAACAAGCTTGCGAGAGCTCCAGGTGGCGTGATCATGGCTGATCACTTATCGTTGGGAAACAAGATCCACAAGCATCTCCACGAAGTCGGATTTCCGATTCTTTAAGACGCCAGGCACTGTTTCTCAACCATGACGGGTTGATGAATGGGACTGATTTTCCGATATCCCTTTTACATTCTTTATTCCCGGCTGCACCGACGTTTACCATCTTCGGTGACACACCACTCACACAATGAGCGTGTACGAGTTCTTCGAAGTAGTAGCTACAAAGCTGCTTGAAGGGAGCCCACTGGGCATCGCTATTGCGGTGATAATTACATTCGGTGTTCCCATCCTGCTACATCTTATTTTCTACCGAACAGTTGCATCTCCGCCGTCCAGCAATTTCCTACTTCTTGGACCTAGCGGGGCAGGTAAAACTGCTCTTCTAACTCTGGTATGTTCGACGGTCTCCCGGTCTCCTTGTCTTTTTACTAACCCGATCACCTCGAAAAGCTCGAAACAAAGTCGTCGTTTGTTCCCAAGCCAAAATCACAACCCACACATACTTCCCAAACCTCAAATCTCGCTACAATCCGCCTTCCTGTCTCCGTTCCCATTGCATCTAACAGATACCGATCCGTCAATGACCCTTCCCTGAAAGAAGCCCAGCGAAACCCCATAAAGTACCTAGTGAGGGATACTCCGGGTCATGGAAAGCTGCGAGGATCCCAGGGCCTTTCTGAGCTTCAATCAATGTCCACGTCCAAAGATACGAGGTCAAAGTTACGTGGCATCCTCTTCATGGTCGACACTGCAGCAATTTCCGAAACAGAAGCTTTGAGAGATGCAGCATCGTACCTGTATGACGTGCTTTTAATCCTGCAAAGACGCGCCCTTCAACGGGGCAAGTCCTCGGCCAAGGCCGCGGCGGAGATACCTGTTCTTGTTGCAGCAAACAAGCAAGATCTGTTCACGGCACTCCCACCAAGATCAGTACGTGAAAAATTCGAGGCAGAGATTGATAGGGTCCGCAAATCTAAGAGCAAGGGGCTTATGGATGCTAGTGCTGATGGTGGTGAGGGTGAAGGGGAGGATGACATTCTGGGCAGTTATGATGTGAAGGATACTTTCAACTTCAAACATTTTGAAGAGGAAATTGGCGTGAACGTTCAAGTCGTGGGTGGAGCTGTCAAGGGCGATGAAGAGGATGTAGGAGCCGGTGTGCGGAGATGGGAAGAATGGGTCGGTCAGTGTCTGTGATGCTTAGTACATTCAAAGTCTTCTGGGTGTCTGAAATTACAGATATCAAATTTATATGTACAAACAACTACCGGCACAAGTAAATACCACGAAGCCGGCCATTTATATTCTGCAATCCTGGCATCATTACGAGTACGTATCGGCATTTTTAGATTTTAGATCCTAAATATTGAAATATGCTGCGATGAAAACTCCGGCCAGTGATTTGATGGTGTTGAACCCTATGTATTCCCGACTCCTCTATTCTCAGACTCGAGAGTTCCCCAGCGATAATGAATAATAGAGACGAGGTAACGTTGAGAACTGTCACAAACAACACTCTAATGCAATTAAATCTATTTTATGCGCCGTTCTTGCTGTGGTGAAGCATCCAAGTAAGAAGGTCAACTTTCGTGACAACAGCCACAGGTTTGAGGATCCCGCTCTGATCTTTGTCGGTGACAATAGCAGCGCTATTCCATTCGAAAAAGCGATTTAGCACACTCAGAGGAGTATCTAGAGTGATCTCAACGAACTTTCGATTTCTGATCTGTGGCTTTGGCGCATCCCCACCGTTTTGACTAGGCTTGATGCTCGTAAGACCCATATCTCGGGGATCAGTGACGACCTCTGGGATGGTGCGGAAATCGAACATGACGTCTGCAACTGGGCTTTTCCCATTTGCGCGGTTATGTGTCAGCCGGCTTAGAACATTTCCGAGTGTGACGAGGCCGACAAGTCTTTTACCCGACGGTGCGAGAACAGGGAGTTGGTCGAAACCTCTGTCGCGCATGATTTCAATGGCAGTTTCGCAGGGTATGTTGGAATGAACTGTCGTGATTGACTTGAGTCGTAGTGAGCTGACTTTGTTGCCTGTAAAGGCGTCATCTTGTCCCTGAGGCTGTTCGTTGGAAGGTTGAAGGGTGACTTCAGTCGGAAGTGATGATGACAAAAGGTCGTTTGCGGCAAGCCAATCGTCATCAGCGAACTGAAACTAGTTAGAGAAATCGATTACCACATGATTTAGTTGAAAGATTCACCTTGGTGAGATAGCTTCTGATGCTGTCGGGCAAGATTACAACGACAACGTCGTCTGTTTTGAACTGGTTATCTCGTGCAGCCTGTACGAGAGCCGCGATTGCGCTTCCGCTGCTTCCACCAACAAGGAGTCCCTCTTCCGCAATCAACCGGCGAGCATATTTGAAAGATTCTTTGTCGTCGGTCTTATACCACTTGTCGACAGCATGCCGATCTAGTACTTGGGGGATGAAATCATATCCAATACCCTCAACCTTATACGCTTCGTTAGCATGTTCCTCGTTCAATGCCGCTGGTAGAGCCAAAACAGACCCCTGGGGATCCGCGGCGATTACTTGAACTTTGGAACTATGCTTTTTCAATCCACGAGAAAGGCCGGTGATTGTCCCACCGGTACCTGCGCCAGCAACAATTGCCTTTATTTCACCCTTGGTCTGGGTCCAAATCTCTTCCGCTGTGCCGAATTCATGCGCTAAAGGATTGTTTTCATTTCCATATTGATCCAAAATATGAGCGTTCGGGAGTTCCTTTTCGAGGCGTTTTGCAACGCCAATGTGGGATTCAGGCGAATCGTATGCAGCTTCATTAGGAGTGCGGATAATAGTGGCATTGAGTGCGCGCAAAACAGAAACCTTTTCGGCAGACATTTTTTCTGGGAGGGTGATAATTGTCTTATAGCCTAAGGTTAAATAAGATCAAATGTTAGGCAAAGGTAGATTCAGCTGGGACATATCACTTACCCTTAACGGCTGCGACAAGGGCCAATCCAATACCACTTGGCAAGAATACAGATTAGAACGCGCGCGCTATATGGAGTTGTTCAAGATCTAGATGACCTACGTATTACCACTGGTAGGTTCGATCAAAGTGTCACCTGGTTTAATGCGCCCTGACCGTTCGGCCTCTTCAATCATGCGAAGAGCTATCCGATCCTTGACACTCCCGCCTGCGTTGAAGTATTCCAGTTTCGCATATACTGTCGCACTAATTCCGAGGCTCTGCGGCAACTTGTTCAATCTCACGAGAGGAGTGTTGCCAATGTGTTGGGTGATAGCATCAAGGGCCACTGGAGGGATGGCTGGCGTTGTTTTGGAGGACATGACGGCGTAAATCTCCAGGACGGAGAAGTAAGTATCGCAATGGGGTTGGCCTCTATACACAGGTCAAAAAGCACGAAATCCAGCGAGATGCCAACTCGCAGTGATGGTGAAAAAGTTCAAATGGGAGGACGGAAACAGAGATGCCCCTCCGCCGCGAATAACCGCCCGCTATTTTGAGTCTCGCCATTTCGCCGCCCGCTGATGTCGACCGGACTAGTCCCGATTCGGACGGCATCCCGATCGCCGTTTTTGATTTGCTGTTTGTTTCCAGCCCTTCGGCAACAAACAACAAACTGTCCACACAATATGTATCGCCAGTGTAGAGCTGCAGAAACCTGTCGGATTCACCAGCTAAAGGGGAATCCTGGGTCTGGAGATGAGGCGAGACAAGGCATCTAGTACATTCAACTGAAAGTATATGGCCTCAGTAGAAGAAATCATGCAAGAGCCGTGGCAGCAGGTGCATCCTGCCCAGAAGACATTATTGAGTCGATAGTGATCGTGGTATCAGTCAGGGTCCCCCATCCGGATTCCAATGAGCCTTGAATGCCTAGAGCAGTCTCAAGAAGCAATGCAACTTGATCGCATTCATTTGCTGGAAGCGTGCGATGGCAAGCGTTTCCACGGCCTCAGAGCAAGGAGGTATGTTTGGTCACACGCCGCCACATGGTAGTCGAGTTTCGTGCGTCTTATTGTTTGTTTACCAGCGTCAAAGCTCGACTCGGATTCTCCAGCTGAAATGAGCCTTTTGTTTTTTTTTTTTTTTTTTTTTAGAGTGGGTGGACTAGATATCTCCGATCCACCTCGTCCCTGAGCAGAGTGAGCACGAGCATTTTAGATGGGGATGCGTCGGGACTCATTGTGGCTGAGCAGGGTGGATTTTGCGCAGAGTCAAGCTTTCAAAGGGGCTCGGCAAGACTTTCGCCCAAAATAAGGTAAAAGGGGTGCCAAGTCAGCGTTATTAGAAAAATCATCAATCTGGAAGAACACATTGGGTGTGATGCGTTGTTTGAGCGAGGCGCTCTGCGACATGGATACCTTGCTCAATTGCAGCGCAGCCTCTGGACACAGCGAAATTCTAGGGGGCCGATGAAGGAGGTTCGTCAACTTCGTTCCAAACGTCCACCTCCACCTCCAGCCACAGAAATGGGCCCTCGATGGCCGAGCCAAGGCGTTTCAAGGGTCAAGACACATATCAATTATCCACAATGTCGAGATCAGGGCCTATCACTGACTCGACTCGACAGAGAGCTTCTTCCAATTGGCGAAAACGACACCCCTTCTTTCAGCTTTCGTCTCTGATCATCCTCTTGTCGAGAATAAGTTTAGTCTTGAGGGACTAGTATTCCACGACTGAGCCACTTGCGCGGTGCCAGCTCACCCAATTTGAGACCGATCGTCTTCCTTCACGACTTGAAATAATTATTCTTATTTGAACCCCTGCCGTCGTCCCTTGAATGTCTGTTCAGCTCGTGTTTGTGCTACCACTATCGAAGCCACCGCTGCCGCGCCCAGCCCCTCAATCACTGTCCTCTCGTTTGGACTCGACATGCTTTGATGCAACGTTTTTAAGTGTATGAATAACGCACGCCGATAATCTACTTTTATTCTGTATACCTCTGTTTTGAGCTTACAGCCACGTCTTCGTCCTCACCGAACAATACTACACTAGCATACCCTTCACCACGCCTATCGGAAACCAACCTTGAAATTTTACCTTTGACGATTAAGTCGTCCTCACGTACCATACAGAATGTCTCCTGGAGGGAGTCAGCCCTCGACGCTCCAAGAGGGAAATGAGAGTTTGTTAATGTCCGACTTCAATAGCCCAGTTGCCGACACCAACAAAGGCGATGGAAATGTCCTTCCCACGCACCGTGATGAAAAGGAGCCACACCCACGTCGGAACTTCTTTCGTGTCCAAACTGCTGGGCAGAGTGGACGGAGCGGAATACACCCCCTTTTATTCCTACAGGTCTGCTTCAGGAGCACTTGCACCCTCTCGATGATAGTCAATATCCTGTGGCCTTTTGTCCCCGCTGCGATTGTTATGCACTTCGCTCGACCGGACCTTCACGTTTGGGTTTTTGCCCTAAACTATGTTGCAATGGTGCCATCTGCAAACCTGCTTGGCTTTGGTGGCGGCGAGCTTGCCAAAAAGCTACCCAAGGTTCTTGGTGTGCTTCTGGAAACTACACTCAGCTCGGTCGTGGAGATTGTCCTCTTCATGGTGTTGATCCACAACGACCAAAACGGCAACCTGATACCCGTTATCCAAGCTGCTATCCTAGGGTCAATCTTGGCAAATCTGCTTCTTTGTTTAGGCCTATGCTTTTTCTTCGGAGGTCTTGGACGTGAGGAGCAGGCGTTCCATGAGGCAGTCAGTGAGGTTGGTTCCGGGTTGTTGCTGGTTGCGGGCTTTGGTCTGTTGATTCCCAGCGCCTTCTATGCGACTCTGAGCAGCGGCGGCACGAGTACCAACGCCACGCCGGAAGAGATAACTCGCTCTACTTTAAAAATCAGTCGAGCCACCGCCGTCATTCTTTTGGCTGCCTTTTCTATGTAAGTTCGCCCGCTTCCCATCTTCTAGAAGGCGTTGCCTAACGGGGGGATTCCGCTGGTAGGTATCTATTCTACAACCTCCACAGCCATCACTCTATATTCGACGAAGTTCTCGAGATTGATGAGAACCGCGACGAGGATCGTGAGAAGGAGAAGAAGCGTGCCAAGCTCACGCTTACAGAGTGCCTAATAGCAATCGCCATAGCCCTGGCCTGTGTTTGCATGTCGGCTGTATTCCTGGTCCAAGAGATTGAACATATCGTCGTGGAGCAAGGCGTGCCGGATAACTTCATGGGTCTAATTCTCGTTCCTGTCGTTGAAAAGGCCGCAGAGCACCTCACCGCCATTGACGAAGCTTGGTAAGTTGTCTACATCATTTCTACAACTCGCACGAAGCCCTGCATTTGAGCTACATAGAACTTGCTAACGTCCATCCTCAGGGACAACCAAATCAACTTCGCCCTCTTCCACTGCCTCGGGCCCTCAATTCAGACCGCTCTCCTAAACGCGCCCCTCGCCGTCATCGTCGGCTGGGGCTTATCCAAGGATGTCAGTCTGAATTTCGAGATCTTTATGATTGTTCTCGTTGTTCTGGCAATCCTGGTGGTAGGAAATTTTCTACGCGACGGTAAATCAAATTACCTCGAGGGGGGTCTTTGCGTTCTGATCTATCTCATCATTGCTGTTACCACTTGGTACTACCCGCAGGTTGAAGCAGCAGGTGAAGCCGGTCATGGTGCAGAAGGGATAGCAGAAATGGCTGCTCATCGGTTCTAATCCGGATCGTTTTCATTCTATTTATTTACTTCCGGCCTTTACGCGGCTGTTTGTTTTGTTGATATAGACCTTTACATTAGATGCATCGCCTGAACAATTAGCCGGCATTCTTTCCGACTTAAGATAACTACAAAACACGCCACTTAAGGAATAGTTTGAAATATTGTAAGAGACATTGCGTGTCCAAAGTGGTCGCGTTCATTCAGTAGTCTAGGTAATTAACGAACATTGCTTGCTCTCAAGCCCGCTTGATCACATTCTTTCTGCCTAGTACCCATCAATGTCATATAGGAAAGGAAACAACAGGTTCAAAAAATTACAGCTGAACGAAATGGATAAGAAAGAATAAAAAAAAACACATGTATGATAAAGGTAAAAATTCATCATAGAACGCCCCAAAGTGCCCCAGAAAACAACAAAAGAGCTTTCCATATACTCCAACAAAAGGGACTCAGAAAACCCCGTCACATCATCGAAAATATCTTGCTTCAAAATAGGAAGAAAGAGCCTCGAGTGTATAAGGGAGACAGGATGCCCTGAAGGAGAAAAAAAAATCGTAGGAATCCAACCACGCAGATGTTAAATACATAGCGGAAGACAAAACCCAAGCATCGAGGCTAGATTGGTGGTATAACAAAGGAAATAAGGTAATGAGCGGAATAACCTTCTAAGGCAAGCTGCAGTATCAACTGTCAGAGCGTCAAAGGTGGTCGGATTAAGCCAAGATAGGTGGTTGTTCTCCGTCAAAGCCACTGTGGTGGTGGTCCCAGAATGAACATTAGTCGGTAATGGCCGAATGAACGCCGTCATTAGATGGTACCGTGGGGGAATCCGAGAAATCACCAACTCCGTCCAAATGCAATAATATGACAGGTCGTATTAATCAAACATCGATCATTTCTGCGTCTTCTGCAAGAACATCATCGGCAGGGCCCCAACTGCCCTCGTAAACTGTGGCGCCAGCCCTACGCCGGGACGCGACAAACTGGACACCATAGGACTCCAGAATGTTATCTGCCGTCGGCCGGTCCTGTGGTTCAGGGGAAATCATCCAGCGCACGATATTATCTAGGGATTGCTCATGACTGGCATCGACCATAAAGGTGGGGGGGTCGGCAAGCTCACTGCTCCGAGTGAACGGAATTGGTTTTCGTTCCCTATTGCTCCTCAAAAATTCTGCTGTGCAGAAGTCATCATCCCCAAATTCCGACGCGCACAATTCTTCAAATGATGGCTCTTCCGAAACGGGGTTCCCAGACGCATCACGGAAAACAGTGGTTTCAGAGCTCCAGGTCAGGCTCGGGACGTCACTCATGTCACCGTTCCTTAGCTTTTGCCACGAAAGGCCGTTATCAGGAAGCTCAACATTGCCGGCAATCTCGAAAATAGTCAGTCCCAAGGAGAAGATGTCCGCTGGCTTGTCATATCGTCCCATCAAAATTTCCGGGCCAATATATTCACGGTCACCCTCCCCTTCAATTCCCTCTTCGGCAGGCCATCGGGTTGCCATGCCAAAATCTGCAATCTTCAAGACACCTTCGAATGTGACCAGGATGTTAGCTGGTTTTAAATCGAGGTGAATAAACCCAGAATCATGTATATGTTTCAACCCCTGTTTATAATTAGCACACTGCAGTCTTGCGATTATAGAAATGGTGGGTAAGTTACCGTAGATAGCTCGAGCAAGATCTTCCAGATCCGAAAGTCATCGAGCCTTGCTTTGAGTCCCACCTGTGCGAGAAAAACATCCAAGCTACCTTCCTCACAGTACTCTGTTTGAATGTAGAGGTGCCCATTGTCTTCCCAACTGTCGGTGAAAGATATAATATGGTCAAAATTCGTGAGGGCTTTCAAGGTATCGACTTCTCGAATCCGACGCTCGCGGTCCTTCAATCCTGAGTATGGTTGCTTCGCTTTCTTAACAGCCCAGACCTGCTCATTCAGTGCTTTAGGCGATTTGGGAGTCGTTGAGAATATGGATAGAGGGGCTTCATTCGGCTGAGAAACACGGAAGACTTGCGAGAACTCTCCGGTACCGATGAGTTCAACGCGATCAAAGCGAGATGTCAGGCACGGATCTACATCTGGCGCATGGTGTATGTTCAGTGGAAGGCTCGGCCTTTTGCCAATGAACGAGTCGCGTGGGCCGGTCGGAGTGGCGGGCAGGTTGAAAGGGTTGAAGTCTGGCTGGACAGACTGCCTGTCATTGGGTGCTGATATAGTTAGGCCACTAGGGTCGGGAGGGCAGAGGTGTTCTTGAGGCGTACGAGGTGAGCCACGTTGAAATCTGTCATGTAATGGGCTAGAATTTGTACCCCTCGCCTCAGACAGGCGCTCAAGGGAGGCGATTTGTGAGGCGGCAGGAGGGTATGTTCGAGATGGGAAAAACGATTGTTTGGTAGGCGTTGGGGGTAAGTCGAATTCACAAAGTGGCTGACTATCCTGTCGGTTAGAAGGCGACTGAATATGTAGCCCATCATCACCGTCTATACTAGCCAAGCTTCCACGCCGCGAGAGGTCTGGTCGATTGAAAGTATTCCCGAAGATACCCATGCCTCGCCCAAAAGGACCCGGCTTGGGTCGTGCGCTGGGAGGGTTGAACGGCGAAGGAGGAGGCATATCTATAGCATTGCTCAGGGTCGACTTTCCGAGTAGTTCCTCGGGTTGCGCCTTCTGGTCGGTAGTAAACAAGTTTACAGGTCTTTTGCACGGCGTGTCAGGCATGTTTTTACTAGACCCTAGCATGCTTTGGGGATCATCGACATTGCGGTTCTTCTTTGATATGAGACCGGTGGACATGAATGCAGCTGGGAGGGGTTTGACGAGCTTGTAGTTTTCAGGTGTAGCGAAAGAATCCGCTGATGACGCTGATTCCTCGCGAGTAAGATGACGTGCAGCTGTAGGCCGAGTGGCACCAGCTGGTAGTGATTTCGAGAAATTGAAGATCGCTCTTGGACGATCGCTTTTTTGGGGGGGTTCATGAGTAGGGGAATCGTCTACCAGGCTAGAACTGGATGAAGATTGGGTGATCGTCCTGGATAGCGGATGAGCGCCTGGTCGTGGGGCTGTCTCATTTGGGTTCGAGAATAACGAGTTACCCTGGACAGGTCGTGGGGAAAATAGGCTCTCGCGGTTGGGTTGAAAAGTGTTGCTGTCCAAAGATGGGCGTGAACGAACGGTTAAAGGAGTTCCCGCATCGGAACTCTCCGAGTCCCCCATAGCTTTAGAGCGAGAAAACAAGGACCTATCGCTTGGACGTTGTTGGAGTGTTGACCGCCGTAAAGATGAGGTACGTCTAGGGACGGTAGCAAAAGGGCTGAATGGCGGCGTAGTAGTAGTATTTGGGAATAATATCGCGTCCTTCTCCAGGTCAAAATCTGCTGTTTTGGAATCCTCCGTTGTATGCGTGACGCTTTCGCTATCAAATATGCTGAAGTCTGCTGAGAGATTTACAGCATGGACACTTCGTCGTTTCGCTGAAGGGCTACCCCTTGACGCGCGATCCAAGTTCATAATACCATCGCTTCGTTTCATGGGACTCACTGCTGAATATGAGCCAAATGTCCCGCTCCGTCGCTTCTCAACCCGGGAGGCTGAAGGGCGGGTAGTAGACGATCCCTCCATACACAAGGCTGGGTCGCTCGAGTATGCACCAACGCCACCGCGCATTTCGTCAGGCGAGAGGCTGATTCCCGGTATTGTGGGGGAGTTCTCTACCCCAGGAGTAGCGGGGGCCTCGTGGAGAGGTTTGGCGTTCCCTTGGTCGGTTGAGACGTTAAGAGCGCGTTTGGCCGGACTTCGAGGAGACGTGCGCACGCGGCGCATTGTAGGGCGCGAGATTTTGGCGCTAGGTGGATACGGGATGGCGAATGGTGATTGTTGAGAAGAGCTGGGAAAGAGCACAAAGTTGCCCTGCGCGGATCTTCGCGACGGCGACAATGGGGAAGAAACGTATGAGGTGTTTTTGGATGGAGAGTGGTTTCGAGATGTTAGAAGGGAGAAGTTCGAGCTCTTCGAAGGCGAGCGGGAGAAAGATCGGCGAAGTTGTCGGATGGCTGTATTGGCATCGATGTGATGGATTCCAGAGTGTGATGGGAGGTGCAATGTGCCGCCTGCATCGCGGTGCGGTGAAAAGGTAGCAACCATTATTAGCTCGGTCTTGACAGGCTGAGGAAGGTAAAAGGTCGCAATTTTTGTTCGACGATATATGAAGTCTGGTAGGAGTTGAGTGTGGTGTGGGAAAATCGACTATTCGAGGCGCAGCAGGAAATCACAACAAAGTGAGCAGACAAGTCTGACTACTCTTTTCGTCCTTCGCGATTAGCTAACCAGGGCTGATGGTGCCAATATCCGACGCGATGGAATGTTTGTAGAGGAGCGTGCGAGCAACGGTCTCAGAAGCAAAGAAAGCAAACAAGGTGAAGCGGGCTCTGGATTGACATCACAATGTTAGAGAGAAGGAGGGAGATTCCCAAGGCCACGTTATGACAGTCGAATATTGATGGCGTGGGTGCACCGCCCCTCGACGAGATTCAACCCACCAAGGCGCACGCTCTAGACCGGAGTGTCTGTTTACCCCTGCTGGGTTTTCCCAAGTGCCTTGGATGAAACGAAACGATAGGGGAATGTTTCAGGATGGCCACACCCGCGTCAGGATAAGCAAGCGCGGCGCGAAAGTGCAGGAGCGACTGGACTGCAGCGAGAATAGGCGCGCGCGATCAAAGGGAGGCGTAAATCCAAGACAACGACAAACAACCGCGACACCTGCAATGGTTCGGACGCGCAAGAGACAGGCCGACGATGCAGTGAACGCTGTTCTGATTTGATTGCAGGAGAAGCAGCAGCAGTAACTTTGCGTCTCCCTTCCGTCTCCCTTCCTTTAAAACCCAGATGGATGGGCTCGCCGGGCCGTGAAAGCGCAAGGGGTTGCTAATTTGAGGCTGCCCCTCTCCGAGAAAATAGAAGCGGCCAGACAGCCACAGCCACGCGATGATGAATCAACAGATGAGATGGATGGCGAAGAAAGGGATGAGTGGACGTATGAATCGAGAGGGGCGCTTGCGGATACTGATGGAACGCAAGTTGCGGTATGCAGCGGCGAACCCTCGCTGAAGAAAATCGCCCGAGGGAATTTCCCTTACGGGACGGAGGGGGGGATCCTGTTTTAGACTTCAAATGAAGA